CACTTAAATGCATTTTGTGTATGACATCGATTGATTTTTAGAATAAATAACTACATTTCATCAAAAAGAAAAAAGATTATTGAAAACGTTAAACATTTCTTTGAAATCCATTATTGCACAGTGATTTTTGAGAGCGAAATGTATGCTAAATTGGCCTTGATCTGAGTATATAACGGAATTAAAGCTCTTTTAAACGAAAATGTAAATGTGTGGAAAACCTTTCACTGTGCATCATGTCAACGAAATGTTCTTCATGCAGTTGAATTATCTTCTAGACAGGTGATCACACAGAAGGAGAGACCTGCGTATCATATCCTTACTAAATATAAACAAAAATGACAAATGAGAAAGGAAAAAAGTGTAAAGCAACCTAGTGGGAAAAGCAAACTGTAAAGTGTAAAACTGGCAAACAAAATATAAATATATGGGAATAAACAGCATCCACACCGTTCAATGACCAATTCCTCATCAACGACCACAACTCCGAGGGACATTCCATTCATACTGAAGTCATTAAAATACATGTTGAAGAAAAATAATGATATCCAATACTCATAAGATCAAAAATAGTTGTAGATACTATAGTACTCATAAAAGCTGCAGATAACGTTTCTTCATCGGGAAAGCAAGCTATCTCTTGGTCAGATATTAACTAACAAGCTGGTTCAGAGCACCAGCATGTCAAACTATGTGAATGGGCTCTGTATCCACAATGTTGCGAGTTCGAGACACATGTGCTCTTTGCGTTTAATAATCAACAAAAATCACTTAAACCTGCACTAAAACTGTGTGTCAGATCGATATAAGTATAGGGTTTGGAAACTAATTGTACCAACAAAAAGAACTTAAAAAACACTGCTACAATATCAACATAAGCTTTCAATAGTAGTGACGATGCAGAAACATGCAAAATGTCACCACACCTTGTTAAGTATACAGTACACATTAACTACTGAACAGTGTCAAGATAAACGTTCGAAGCTATTACAATATGTCAGCCAATCACTAGTGGTGGTGACATAAAAATAATGTATAGAAAAATCTACTGAACCAAAATAAACTTTGTGATAGTTTTCAACTAAATATATTTCTAATAAACAATGTTTTATCGAAAAGAAAAAATAATTTCATGTTATATAAAATCAAATAAATTAATTATATTTTTTTTCGTTGTGTTAGTTACACCAGTAATAATAAACCTGTTTACAAAGTGGTGTTAACTAGACTATATAATTTAAGTCATAAAAGTAATAATAAACCTGTTTATAAAGTGGTCTTAACAAGACTATAGAATTTAACAGTCATAAAACCTAAAAAAATATACCAGGAAGGGACCATTGTGAATGTAAATGTATAAAGCACGGATGCCATAGGAAACGGAACAAAAGTTATAACAGAACCTAGCATGGAGAAAGTGTAACTGGTAAATTGTAATAAAAATAGTATAGATCATGATCTAACATGACATAGTATGCCTAACAACTCATCCTCCCTAACATTATTAAAGACTACTAAGGTATATTATAGTGATCCACTCGATTATGCTGGTTACCTAAACGGTTTGTTTCGGTAACAAAATGTGGGAACATCGAAGGTATGATTTTTCCTTTTTCCTTTCACACTTTGTAGGCAGAATTCCCACGACATTTTTTCTCACAAACGTGTATCAGTATCATATGTTTAGGAAAATGTGCATATTTGCAAACAAATAGTTCAGAAGACAACATAATCGTACATTTAATTCCTCACTTAAGTTACATAAACGGTATTTCGAAAAAACAGTTCAGATCTGCACTTTTAACCCAAACCTTTATGTAACTTAATTTAGGAATTAAATCGACGATTCTGTCGTCTTCTGAGCTATTTTTCACAAACATGTACATTTTCTAAGACATTTGATACTGATTCACGTTTGTGGGGAAAAAGGTTGAGAGGATTCTGCCTACAACGCATGAAATAAGGAATAAGGACAAATCGTACCTGTAATCGAGCGGATCACCAGTGTATATACAGGGTGAGATAATTCATATTATGGCATCAACTTTGACAAGTTGGTTCATCCAGTTGTCAGGTAAGAGATTTTCAGGTAATTCATTTTCTTCCTGATCTTCAATGTTTGGTGTAATGGTGTCATCAACTGGTTCAAATTCATTGTCGCTCTCATCAACATCATCGTGCTGATGGGTTGGACAGTTCTCACACACACCTTTGCGGCACTTACATGAACTTCCACAAATGAGATCCTGTTTCTTACAACTATATCTCATTGAGTCACACGCTCCTTTACAACTACAAGCAACAAGCTCCATTATTTCTTGTGGGGCAGGACCGTTTTCCATCCACTTAATTTGTAGTTTATTCCCTTTGAATGTCCAACCATGTAATGTGGGGGATTGATAATCAATCATTGATTTGCCTGCGTTTCGCCAAATATAGGCCTGATAGTTGGCTCTATTTATATGGAGAATGAGAGCATCCTTTGTTGGTGGTAAATGCTTTGACTGTATTTTATATTTATCTACAAACTTCCGCCAGAATGCAAGATGGCTATCAGAAAGTTAATCAGCTCTATAACTTCTTACAATGTAACATGTGTGAAAATTTGAAGTAAAACTGTTACGTGGTTTTCATGGAATCGTGATGACAAGATTTATCTAAAAACTTCCAAGATGGCCGACAGAATGCAACATGGCCACCGAAAAGTTAGTCAGCTCTAGAACTTCATACCATGTAACATGTGTGAAAATTCGAAGTAAAACTGTGAAGTGGTTTTTCTGGAATCGTGATTACAAGATTTATCTATAAACCTTCCAAAATGGCCGCCAGAATGCAAGATGGCCACTGAAAAGTTAATCAGCTCTAGAACTTCATACCATGTAACATGTGTGAAAATTTGAAGTTAATCTGTTAGGTTGTTTTCCTGGAATCACGATGACAAGATTTATCCCAAAATTTCCAAGATGGCCACCAGAATGCAAGATGGCTGCCGAAAAGTTATTCACCTCTATATTTTCTTACCATGTAACATTTGTGGAAATTTGAAGTAAATCCGGTTGGATTTCCTGAAATCGTGATGACAAGATTTATCTTAAAACTTCCAAGATGGCTGCCAGAATGCAAGATGGCCACCGAAAAAATAATGAGGTCTAGGACTTTTTACCATGTAACATGTGTGAACATTTGAAGTACATCATTACATCTGGGGTTTTTGTGGAATCGCGATGACAATATTTATCTGAAAAAAATTCCAAGATGGCCGCCAGAATGCAAGATGGCCGCCGCAGAGTTAATCAGCTCTAGAACTTCTTACCATGTAACATGTGTGAAAACTTGAAGTAAATCCGTCTGATGGTTTACCTGGAATCGTGATGACAAGAAAGTGATACTTCAGAATGCCACCTTGTCTAACCCCGTTTTGGTGCCTTTTGCCCCTGTTTACATCAATAGAAGAGGTGTTTTCTTTAAGAGGGAAGTCTGTTCTTTCAAACGGTACAATCATTTTATGTGGGAAAGTACCGGACAACAAAACTTTTTTTCAGAGGGTCCAGATCAGGGACTAATATTATCGATCGCAGAATTGACACCTGACCTTCATACGCTTTTACATGTAGTATCATGAACGTTTGTTACGTTGAATATGCCAGGTATATTCAACTATATTATATTGTATATTGCTATACAATAACATGTACATATATTTATGGTCGCGTGGTATATACAATATATGCCACACTAAATTGCGAAATTTTCCATATTAAGAAAAATAAGTTAGAATACAATATGCTCAAGTATTTATTTTTTGCATATTCTATTATTAAAAAATGTTATGTAAGAAGTTGAGATCCGATGACTGTTTTGTAGCCCACGTCTTCTGATTCTAATGGATTCCGCATTGATGCTTTTAGTCTAATTGAAGCGCACGGAACATCACATTGCAATGATTTATTACTCAAAATACTTGCTTAATATGCTGGAGGGGCAAGATATGCGTTTATCATGTAGAATCTGGTAGATTATGTGCTCATGGTAATGTAGATTAATTGACACCTAGTAAGACAACCGTGTTCCGTCAAAAGCCTTTTCTTTTTGTGGTTTCTAACTACTTTAGTTTTAGCTCTTCGAAAAGGTGAAGCGCAACTCTGGTCCAAGCTTTGACATAAAATGGCGATCATTTTAGGACATAAGGGCATTTTGAAGTGTCAATACATTCATTATTTCAATTCAAAGAAAGACGACGAAGGCTCAGTATGACTCAGAAAGTAACAATAGACTGCAAAATGTAACCACCTGCCATTTGTTACAGACGCCGAACACGAAAAAGTTGGAGACCAAAACAATATGTCACCACTGTGTTGGTGACATAAAAAACTAAAATTCACGATCATACGCGATCAAATGAAAACAGAAAAAATGAAAAATAGAATACCTTTTCTTTATGGAAAAGATACTATTTATTTTTAGTGTTCATGCACCCGAGTCTGATAACATGTACTAAGTTAAACCAATTGCCAGCATTGCGTTATTTCGAAAATTTAGTTATTTTCGGTCTCTGATATCGCCATATAAGCAAAATGAAATGTTTATGTTACTAAGATGCTATAGTTATAATTATCCTATCGGCAAACAATATCTTTGCACGATTCCGTGTCACTTCTAACTAAAGTACGACAAATCTTGCATGCTAATTGAGGATTTCTGTTTCTGCATCCCAATAGGGACTCTTATATAAGTCATTGCGTGTATAATTTGACCATAAAGAAACCCTCGATTGATTGTCATTTCTTTCTCTTGCGTGTTGAAAATAATTTTTATGCGTATTGATTCTGCAATTACTCCTAGAGACTCAGTTGGAGTTGACTCTTATAACAGATCGTTTATTGGTTTCACAAATATTCTCATTTTCAATTGGACACAAGTAAGATCTGTGAAAGAAGAAGCGAATATTATTATATTATCCTAACGTAAAATGAAATTATGTGTATTGATAAGTCGGAATTAGATGTCCAAATGGCAATGGAAACTCGATTTTCTTGTCAGACTGTTGAGTAGGAATTGAACAGTTTAGTTGAGCTGGAAGATCTATTTGTACCCAATATAGATATAGTTACGCATATATCTTCATAAAGTTATTTTTGATATACAGTATCACGTAACAGTTAAACTGACGAGTGTGTGGATTTACTCTATCGTGGTTATCATTCGCATTTTATATTTTCTCTGTATCAGACGGAGATGAAAAGAGTACCGAGTTTAATTTTTGTGACTAACAAGTTTTATATTTTGGTCATAAACCTTCTATGAGTCAGGTAAATCAAAACAAATGTTTGTGCATTCTTTAAAATCGAGAGCGTACAACTGAATACAATACCTCCTTGGATTTACCTGTTGAAACGACAAACATAAAAAGAACGTTTCAGTGACTGTTATCGTCACGTGCACTAAGTAAAAGTCATACCTTCGTGACCTTAAGTTACAACACTTTCGTAAGGAGTTACACCCCGGGAGTTACATGAGGAATAGTGAAAAATATTCGGATTTTATAAAGATTTACAGTAAACGCGAGTGAAGTTACACAGCCTTGCCTCATGTTAAAGGCCAATGAGATGTGATTACAGCACAAACAGAGATAAAGCACTATAAGTATGACAAGTGAACTACAACTTCACTGAAGAACGAAAGTGAACAACACAACAAAACATTGGATAGAGCCATAGGCACTGGTAAGTTCGAATGATCGAATTATTACACAAATATATTTATGATAGGTCCATAAGGTATCAGAAAGTTAAATGTTGTGCTAATACGCAAGGACTATAGAGTGTCTTGAAAGTAAATGAACCAACATTTCTAACAAGTGATAATTACATTTGGCGATATTAAACAACGTAATTATCAGTTTCAAATCACAGAACAGGAAATTTGATTGATTCTGTTACCATTAGTGGCGTAACAGAAAGATAATGGGAGATTTTATGGATTACTTTTGACGGATCAAATTTATTTCTATTTAGAAATATCATGCGGCTGTTAGTTCTGCTTATATTGGTGCTTGTGTGTAGTGGAATTCATGCGAGGAGGAGGAAAGATCGCCATGGCAACCATGCGCGACGAGGCAAATCACCGTGGAAACATTCATGGATAGATGACTCTTTGCGCGATTTGTAAGTTATCAATTAATACATGACATATATTTATGATTTATTTTTTTCTATTATTGTTTTAGGCCACTTTATCACATTATTTAAAATAACATAATATTGCCTACATTCCATATAGTTGATCTTCACTCTTCTCTCTATATATTAAGATATAACATATAGAAATTCCTCTAAATTATTCAAACGTGACTTCGTTCAGTTATAACATTGTACAATATTGTAGATCTTCACCGGTTAATACTAGCTCAGAAGTTCAATAATTTGTATTGCATTAAGTCACAGGACCTCCCCTCCTATCTTCTTCACCTCACTTGTGCTTGTAAACGCGTGAAGGTGGTGTTTACCGTTTCTTGTGCTGAATTAAGTCTATTTATGATAATCCACGTTACATTAAAGTTTTTTTTGGTTCGATTATAAGGTTAAAGTGATAACATGATTCTCATTCTTTGCTAGCAATACTGGCACTTTATTACGAGAAAAATATGAACGTAATATTTTCATTTTAGCTCAGATATGCCTCGAAAATTTTAATTTGGCTCTCCGATTTTTAGATCAGCAAAATGGCGGTCATGTCACCACCAGAAGTGGTGGTATATTGTTATGTCTCTAATCTTTTGTGGATGGTGTTCGACGATCGGCGTCTGTAACAAATGGCAGGTGGTGACATTTTGCACTTAAATGCCTTGTTAATATGTAATTCCCCATGTCTTTCATAGCTCACCTAGTATCACTGTGAGAACATCGCACCCATTGGATGTCATTGGACGTGGGGGAGAGTCACTCGAAGATTTCCTAAATAGGCTGATAGTTGGTATCCGTGTCAACCATGGACAATGGTATGAGGGGTAAGTTCTATTTCAACGATTACATTAAATATCCCTTGCCCTACAACAAATAACACTGACAAGCTTTGAAGACCGCTCGACCAAAAACCTTCCTAAATCAAACTTAATTTCAAACATTCACATTCCTACTTTATTAATTGATTGTATGCTATTTTCAATATTTACATATGAAATTTATTTTAAATTTATATATGACAATAAGCAATTAAAATTTCCAATTTCGAATTTTAGACCAAATGTCTGTAGCAGTGAGAAAGAAGAGAACTCCACAGCATCAGAAAAAGGAAAGGAAATCATTTTCCACAGCATCGTTAAGATTAGCACCTGTGATGAGGTGGCTGATACATATAGGTGTATCACAAAGTAAGTTCCCCAATCACCTTTATTTTAGCTCATTTAGTATTCGCTTGGTGATTAATGTGTATTTAGGTGTTGCGATTGGATCGAATAAGAAGGGCTTGATCAATAAAGTCATCAACCATCATTATTATAGCTTATATCATTCTAAACTCTATCATTGCAGCATCATTGAATTTATCATTGTAACCTTTACCATTATTGTATTCTTTTTCAATTTAGTTATTATTAATGTAGTCTTTATCATTGTAACCTTAATCGATATAGTCAACGTTATCATTAACAATTATTGGCGTAAGAGGGGTTGTATTTTGTTGTTGCCAATTGTGCCTTTTCATAAATGAAGTCGTAATATTGTTCAGGGCTGTTAGCGTTCGACGATTTAAGACTAAATTAATACTCATTAAAATTGTCACAGAGTTAATTGGATAAGTTGTAATGTCAGTGTGTCCTATCACCTCTCTTCCGTTCTTCCGTTTAATAAGGAAACTTCATGATAAGTTTGTACTACTTGACTGTATGAGCTCACTTAAAGTTATATATTCACATCTCTGTCAATTGTTAGACTACTTGTCAATAATTCATAGTACTTATATTCCCAATTACATGATAGAGGACTGGGGAAGTACGATTTTGAGGCAAGTTTCCAAGTTCAAAATGACCTGTTAATGATGAGGTTTTAAGAGTTTGTAAACAAGCATCAATCCTGGTGTCATATTCAGTGTGATAATGCTAACGTTAACCTTTTTCCCGTTGTCACAAATAAATTTCATGAATGTGACGGATACAATGCTAACCAAAGACATCGTTTTGGCTAATAACGAATATATTTATAGCTTTTAAACCATGTGGATTGTCTGCTTTAAACCAAAACTTCAAAACAAGTTAAGTACAAGGTGACACAAAAAATCTATCAATCTATCAATCTATCAAAACCGACAATATGAAAGTTCAAATTGTTGGAACTAAATCAGTATTTCACGCATTAAACGCTCTATTAACGGGGCCACGAGTAAAATCTAAAATACACAAGTAACACAAATAAAATAAAGATTCCTTAGTTAATGACATTGCTATTCCAAAATGTACTGTAGTTTTGCATTTTTGCATCACCCTGTATTTACAAAAAGAAAAATTATTTCATCCGGACCATTCTCTTGGAATTGTTGTGAACTATGATTGTGATTTATATCACAGCGTTAATGGGGTAAAAGAAAAGTTCTTTCCTGTGAGGTCATTATGGTCAAAATTACCATAACGACTACTGGAAACTATCCCTTGCCCGTGATGAGACAATCACATTTGCAGAAAATCTAAATGATCAAATTACGGATGTCAGAATAAGATGATAAATCCAGCTTAGTGCCAGCACCACCAGTTCTCATATCATTCAAAACCAATAAATGTTAAAAATGGGTATTTTTCGTGTAATTGAAAATAGCTAAAACTAAAATGATTTTTTCTAATTGTTTTATGTATTTTAAAATAATATGCCTTTATCTTTATTCGGTCAGCATACGTATTGATCAGTCCGGTTGTAAATAACTTTGAAAATTCGCTAATAAGTTGTGAATTTCGTGAATTTGCTGATGTAACAGGACAACACGCCCGTGAAAACATGTCATATCTCAGTTATAAATGGTCGCATCTTTTCATTTTGGTTCTTTTGGCATAGAAGACATTCAGTCAGAGTGTGATGACAGCAGTGTATTTGCTTCTCACCCACTACCGATTATAATATACCCATTATAGTAAGTGTACAATTTATTCTGTGAAAAACGTCACGGTCGTTAAAACAGGCCCAGACGGCAGTAGGGAAACTCGAGATAAATTAATTATCCGTAGTTATAAAGTCCTTAGTTCAGTTTATCAGACCAAAGTGTTACAAATCGTGATACTAGTTGTGATTGAATTATAATGAACATGATCTGAAAAATTCTGAAAAATCACCGTTTTGCTTGTGAAAAACGACCGTGATGTTACTCATATATTGACAGTAGTCTTGTTGAAAATGGGGCAATTTTCAAGAAAACAATATGACCACTCCATCATAACATAAAAGGATTTTCGAAATAACAAGCATTACCTAATCTATGAACTGATATTGTGCGAAACTGTGACAATCGTCACGCGTGAAAAACGTCACGGTTATAGCATTGAACTCAAAGCAGTAATTAGCCATTTTTATAAATCCCAGATGGATTGATTTAATCTTATATTATGACCCATATTCTTAAAACACATGTTTAAAAGTTATTCAGTGATTACGCATAAAGATCAATTTATAGGCAAGGAAACGATAACACCTAACGAATTTGCCCTTTTGTAAATGCGCTTTTTACATTTTATACGTCTTTACAATAATACGTAACATGCAAGCAAATGACAAGTTATTTGGGAATTCCATAAGCATATTTTTTTGGAATAGTCATAACAAAAAATGTTATATGAGGACCATTAAAGCCCAAAATAGTTGACCCTCACTAAATAGCATTTCGTTCAGTGTATTCCCGGGGATCGCTGAATTCAATCATAAAGTCACTTAATGTTTGCATTCTGTTTTCTTTTCAATGATTGCAAGTATTATTAATGGAGAACACCATGAACCGAAAACTCTAGTTAAGTAACATGAACGATTACAGCTTTTCAACGATGTTTTCGTGTTATGATTAATTTTTATCTATTTCAATTCCATTTGCACGATCTGTATATGATATGTAATATTCAATATGCCTTTGCGAAACGCAATTCGTTGGAAAAGAGATAGAGAAAAGCAAAAACTAAGCAATCCTCGAGAATATTAAAGAAATATGCAAAAAACACTCCTCTTTGAAATATATTGCCAACCGACTAGCAAAAAGAAACTACAAAATGCATGCTTCGAGAATGGAGGCAACAAAGCGAGATTAATTCTTTCAATGTTCTATTTCTCTAAAACAAAACCGGGATAACCCATTGCACTGAATATTAAACTTCCAGAACTTCGAAGAAAAATGAAAATCACAGGAAAGAATTGAGTTTATGCTTAGAGTTTTGTTATGTGATATCAGAAACCGTTGAAAAAGTATCGAGTCTGACAAAAAAATTCGTTCTAGGACTAGTGACTTAACTCAGCTCGAATGTAGCAAAACATAACGATAAAAACGTTTTCAGTGGCCATGAAAAATGACCTTGTGATGAGATCGGGGCATCGATGAAGCGCTCCGCAGACCAAAAGAAAATTTCATATTCACAGTGCAGATGATTTTTATGCTTTGGCTACGTCAGACTTAAATACGTCAGTATTATCATTCTTATATCTTTCAAATGATAACGTACAACCAAGTAGAGTTACCATTAATTTTAAATGAAAAAAGTTTCTCTTTTGAATTTGAAATCTTTAAAAGGGACTTTTCTGATGCATGATTGAATGCTTTTAATGTCATTTGGAATGAACATGTACATGGTTACCCTGCTGTTTGTGGTGCATGCAGGAAAGACTTCACTACGTCACCCTGCAGTTGGTCTAAAAAGTAAACACCCATAGTAAAAGTTTCTCAAATTGTAAAAAAACAAATCAAAGTGTCTTACCTCATACACTAAAAGAGATTAAAAGGGAACTATGGCGATTAGGTGCTTGACGACAAGGCATTTGCACCATCGATGTAAAGTGTAAAAGCGCTGGTTTCTTGAATCAGTGAAAAGTTTTGGTGAAGTTGATTTAAAAAGATAAATAATGTGGTGTGCACATAGTTATTGAAAATAGAAAAGAGGTGTTCAGTACATATAAACTATGATTGCATGAGTTCACATATGTAACATGTACGTAACTGCTTTTTCCTTGGAGAAAGTGAAACACGGCACGATTCTACTATTCATGCTTTATGTCGAGTTTTGACGGAAAATTAAACATAAAGGTGATAATATAAGACAAAAATCCAAACTTGTTTCTCAATTCAGCTAGCTATAGTCATCAAAAATGACCGTTCTTTAATTAAGACTTCTCCTAAGTGAACATATAACTCATTGTCATTTGTTTTCAATTTTCTTGTGAAAAACGACACGCGGAAAAATGGTGAACCAGCCAAATGATCATTGCTCCCAAAATAATTCTTTTGTCATTTTCTATACGTCTAAAGCATCATTTTTCATGACCGAATCGATTCATGTTCAAATAGGATCGACCCCTTTCAATTTTACTCAAATTAAAAACACAACGTATGAAAAAATCGAGAAAAATGATGGATTCGGATGTTTCACGTTGACAAGTGATGCACATCAAAAGGAAAATACTTGAAGTCTGAATTCATTTATGATTTTAAAGGACAGGAGAGTAGCATGAGGAAAGTCCTTGGTTTTTTGAAAATGTTGCATTCTAATGTGAATATCTTGGCATATTAATCACGGACTGAAACTGTGAAAATCGTCACGTATGAGACGGGCCCTAATTTCAATTTGAAATTCCACCTTATGTTCTGTGGAGTTTACTTCAATTCTTTGGGTAACGTGTGTATAAATGTATATAGATACATACTACATGTCTATTTGAAAAAATCATTTTAATGCTTTTTTGAATTTTTAACATAATTTGTTTCACACTTAAGCTGTTTTCAGTGATATGGCCAATCAGTCAATTGGATTTTCTCAGAATCAAAGCAAAATATTTTTTCCATTCTTTTTCATTATCAAATGCACAAACACAATATCTAAAGACAGCAGTTGTTCAAAATAGTTACTATCAATTTTACAAATTAATCCAAAGTAATTTTCTTCAAACCATTGTTAGCCAACCTCGACCCACGAGGTAGTTTTGTTACAACCAGGGATCTCGTACATGATTTTTCTAATTTTTGGAACTAGATTTCCATATCTTTGATTATTCAATATCTGTTGCTTAGAACCCAAGTAGGGGATGACATCACGACGCACACCAAGGTGTTCGAGTGCTGCGACGGCTTTGAAAGAGATGACGTCACAGGACGATGCTCTACAAGTAAGTACAGATTTTACCTAAACGGATCAATTTATTGACGATACATGCCTTGCCTTAATGGTCACTTTCTAACACCAATGCATGCCTTACGATTCTTGTATTCTTTGTTTTTCAAGGAAGGGCAACCAAAGATATCATGGCAGTTCTGCACGACGCTGGTGCCATAGAAACAGCAAGTGCTTTAAGGAGCCTCGATCTGAATAAACTGCTGACCAGGGGAAAATTCACAATTTTCGCGCCAAAAGATGAATCGTTCAAATCCTACAAGCCAAAAACTGTAAGTGGAAAGAATTTTATTAACAGTTGCGCCAAAGGCATGCAAGATATAGAACCATGGGCTTTCAACTAGAAGCCCATGTTAGAACATAAAGTCTTGGACACTAATATTTTTATAATATATTTGGAGCTTGCAACTAATGTCTCACAGTTCTGTGGTAAAAAAGATTAATTGGCCAAAGATCAATTGTTGCGTATTTGGATTGATTCGTCAACCAAAATTACATCAACGAAGAAATCAGTCTATATGATTTCATATTCATGTATTTGAACTTGAAATTAGAATATAAGGGTAGCCCTGTATTTAAGTCAGAAACAGAAACTACATAGACAAATTGCTTATGGTGCTTGTATGCAAGACTAAGAAGATCGCGAATGATGTAAGCAGAGACATATAAAGTATCTGATGTAAGTGAACACATCTTTCATTGAACAAGCACAAACATAAATAAACAGTGGGTAAAGTTACAAGCCAGATTTCTTCCTAAATTCCTGCCAGATATGATAATATTCAATGTTTTGTAAATACCCGATTTACTTTCTCACAGAACATTACAGCTTACCATAACATAGTAAATCACTTATGAAATAACATAATTCCTGATATCAGAGCTCAACATACTGCATCATATAGCACAACATATTTCGCTAAAGCACAACATATTTCGCTAAAGCACAACAAACTGCATTAAGCACAGCACATTAATCTAAAACGTACAACACTAAGCTCATGACAGAAAAAACTCGACACACATTTCATAAAACAACATACATTACAAAACATGATACGTGTTACATAATACGTAACGTATATAACATAATAGGGCACATGTAACGAACATTACATAACACGACGTACGTTACATAAAACAACGCACGTTTCATAAAACGACGTACAAAATACGATATACCGTATACACTGAACTAAAACACAAAATGCCCTAAATTAGAGTACGCGAAACACTAACATACTTTTCAACTTGATAAATCATAAATTGGTGGATGCAATTGCAAGCTGCATTATTAAGATAATCTAATAGAAAACAATTGCTGTTGGTCATGTTTAGCTATGATATATCATACATTTATCTCTCGCATATTACTGGCAAAAACCTTATCTGTAATTCTCTATGCATCATTGAGTAGATCAGAAAAATATTTCATCTAAAATATTCCCCTCGTGAGACTATTTTATCGCTATGTAACGTTACAGTCTGCGGTTGTCTTGGGAGTCCTAAATAATTGCATTTCAGTTTTATTAGTCCTACAATCGTTGGAAATCCAGCTTTATACGGTTATTAAATGATATCTTAAGACCCTTTGTATGTTTTAACATTATATTACATCTGATGGGTACATTGTTGAAAGCATTCTTGAACAAAATTAAATAAAATTCCTCACAATTGGTGATTGCCAAGATGCACTGAGCTTGATATCCCATCATCTATTAGTACCTATCCAAATAAATCTCGAATCTGATTGGTCAATTGCATCACATGAATGAGAATATGGTTTTAAGTGGTTATGAAATGTTATTCTGACATTTGTATTTGTTCCTGTTGAGAGATAAATGATTTCACATTTGTGAAACATTCCAATGAATAGCAATATTCTCTGACATAACATCACAAAAGTGAATTTTAAATTTTGGTATTGATTGTATTGTTATCTTACACTGGATCTAAACTCGCTGAAGTTATTAGAACAACAGAAACCTTATACAGGGTGGCCTCCAAATATGCAACTCACTAATTTAATCTCGTATGGATGAATCGGTGTATGAAGAGCGCTAAATTGAGCAGTGTTGCAGACATTCACTACTTTGAGGTTTAGAGACATCACGTTAACTGTTCTAGATCGTCCAAAATTAGAAGGTTCTATTTTAGGGTCACCCTGTAGATGAAAATTTTTCAATTTGGTAACAACACAATAACATCAATATCATATTTGTGTTATACCTATTCATATTTGCAAGCATTAATGAAGTTAGTTGAATATCCTGACGTCCCAAAAGATTAATTGTACTTGAGAGGGGGTGTTGGAAAAAATAGCCAAATATTCTTCTTTTTTACTCCTATATGCCAACTAACTCTTGCCAAATTGAAAGAAAATCCAAAACTTCAAAAATACATTGGGATGTCAAGGCACGTATTGCTAAACAAACACTTGATTTTTTATTACATTATTAACTTGGGATATATCAGAGGCTGAAGTATCTGAAGGTTTGAGATGCAATCTGACATTGACAGACATGTCTAACTCCCTCTGATCCCAGCGATATCCAAGAAAATTAACTATTTGCTTCAAAGATTTGTTCTTACTAACCTATATACCGATATAAATTCTGACATAAAACCAACCGGAATCAAACTAATAGATAAATCTATATCGTCCGTCGAACTAAATTTATGATTGGGAATCCATTAATCGTATAAGAGTTTAATTTGTAATATTTTTCGCGGATGCAATTTTGTTCTTAATTTAGGTACTAGCACTATTTTTCATGCTGTGAAGTGTCAGACGAAACGAGAGACGCGAACAGTATATTAGTATTGTAATAAATTATATCACCATCAGAATTAGAAGTGGTGACAGTTGTTATAGTCTTCAAGTTTTTTTGTGGACGGTGTGCGGCGGTTGGTGTTCGGCGGTTGGCGTTCGGCGTCCGTAACAAATTCTTAGAACTTTCAATACCTTAATCTGTACTGTTGAAACTGTTGCTATGGGAATGCTAAGATTAAGCTTTTGGTTTTTGTTTCATTCCGCCGCTCATTTCATAATCTGTCAAGAGTTAATTCTTGTAGTGTTTTGTGGCTAATCAGCATTATTAATGATTACAGTGCTAATGTGTTGACTGTCAGTTGCTTCAAATTGACTATTTCTACATTCATTACAAAGAATCTTCTATTGCAGGCTCAACGCATAGTGTCCGTTACATAGTGTGTTTCGATTCCATTGCCATGGTGTCAAGGATCGAAGAAACCCAGTCCATACCGTGTACCTAGTCAAGTGTGTCCTATGTTGTCCATGAACTCCAGACCATAGAGTGTTGTGTCTAGCGCTCATTACCCTTTGTGGGTTGCCACATTATGGCTTCTGTTATATTGAGTACACAATTTCCTAAAGTTCAATGTGTCAAATGTCGCGTCCCTGGTCAAGTTCAGAATTCAATGTGTCCAGTGCAGTGTGTTATTTCAACTTCATAGTCCAATGTGTCTATTGTTGTGTCCTTGGTCAAGTTCAAAGTTCAATGTGTCCAGTGTAGTGTCCCGTGTCATATTCATAGTGCAGTGTGTCCAGTACAATGAGCTATGTCAAGATCAAAGTTCAATGTGTCCAGTATCCAGTGTAGTGTCCTATGTCATATTCATAGTCCAGTGTGTCCAGTACAATGTCCTATGTCAAGTTCAAAGTTCAGTGTGTTCAGTGCAGTGTCAGATTCGGAGTTCAATGTGTCTAGTGTAGTGTCATTTGTCGAGCTCATGGTTCCCAGTGCATATTGCCCCATTCCCAAAGTATATTGTCATCTGTTTTGCATCTGTGCCAAAAAGGAAGGCTAAAATAAAATGCGATCCTTTCATAGCATAGAATGCCTCTAATAATCCCCATCAATGTCCGGGCTTATTTTCCTGAGTTTCCTCACTTGAATAAGTCTAATAATGATTATTGACCGGAGCCTTACAATATCAGAGACAAATGGGTTGAAAGTCAGAGTCTGTCCTATTAAGTTAGTCACTAGATTGCTCCTCATGTTTCAGCATGGTGAATATTACAATAAACTGTCTTGTTTATATGCTTCAGTGATTCATAGGCTCCGATTGATGCTCATCTTCACTTTATTTATTGTATCAATTTAAATTGGATCGTAATAAATGAAGAAAGGCTGACCAGCCGACCAACCTTATTAAAGCGTGTTTTATTGTTAAATGAGGAAATATCGGATTTTTGTCCTGTGTTAAAAGTTCTTCAGGAAATCTACCATCAATCAACTTAATACAAAGTGGCAATTCTAATTCTAATTCTTTTCCTAGCTGGTACAGCCAGATAACGGTTACTGCAGTCAGTTATATCACAATGGCGAGAAGTCCGAGAAGATATTCGGGACTGATGATTCAAACTTACAGCTTAATACTTTGTCAATTAGCAGTAGTCAGAGAACAATGCTAATAACCTAAGAAGTACGATGATAAATAAAAAAGATCATGTAATTTATCTTCAGATAAAACGCGTGTATAGAGCTCCCGGATATCCAAGTATTCCAACTCTTGCCGAACTATTCTGACTTGACCCAAGAATTCTCGGTTTACGTATTTCATTAACTACCCTCGATCCATTGATTTTCAATTTGCCATTCAATGTCATGTTTCCTCAGGAGATAACTGATGGAATAAAGTTAACGTAACCATGCTATATATGTATGGCTGCCTCGTGAGTAACACTAGGTCCTCCATTATATTTTACAAACAAGCAGGGTACACGTTGAGGGATGAATGCGCAGATCCCCGGTTGTGAGACTACTTTTGTATTACGGAATACTCAAAAGCAATCCGATATTGAAATAGCATATATTACTGAAAATATATTCAGTTTGGGTCTCAATTTCAGAAGTATGTCTCATTTTGGGAAAAAATGGACTTTGGAAAAAATGGGCCTACAGTTTGGAAATAGAATAGTCAGAATAGTTCGGCAACTGTCCGAACACTTGGGTAACCCAGAACCGGGCCCAGAACAGTTGGGCTTCTACACACGTACTTGTGTTGCTCTAATGGAAGACCAGTTCAAACGTTCAGTTTGGCATGTTTTCTAATATAATGGATATCTGACCTGTTTTGATACACTACAACCACGAACTTGAATCATGCCAAGCCCCAGGATTGTTTGTATTTTTATCAACTGACATTTTACCAAGAATTCACCCGAAGCTTCACTGTAAACCACTCTACTCCACGATATGTTAGCGCTCAATTGAAGGATATATTTATTTATTTTATTAAAGTGTCATGAGTTATAAAACATATAAAATACAATTAAAAACACCCCAGGCCGACAACGACCTATAGGACACTATAAATACATGTAAATCATTTATATAGAAAAATTTCTCGAAGGATTCTACATGTTCTAGATAAGATATCAACACTTAATTCAGAATACTCATCTACTCGACTTTCCAAGCTTTACAAAGGTATATGGATTTTGTGGAAATCTGAATCCTTATAAAGATGAGATCCTCGCTAATGGATGCTAATGTAAAGTATGAGACAATGCATAACTGAAGGGCTAATCGATTCGCTTGTCACTCTTAGTATCTATTTGCAACCAGCCCCTGGCGCAATTTAAATTGATCCAACTGTGTCAAACATCGCAGAAAAACATTTTGATATCTAACATGTTTATCATTTACTCTTTATCGTGATATTGTGGTATAGTGCAGGTTATACACACTGATAGCGATATCGTTAATGTGGTAAAAATTAAAATAGATGAACCGATCTTACGGAGTCAGGAAGTGGAGGAAATCTATCTGCGTCGTTTTCAATAATTTGCAATTGAATCAAAATCGGCTAGCAACAAGAAGAATGATTAATTTGGGCACTGCATGGAGTCGTTTATCATATTATGTTGATTAAGTTTAGAAATGAGTTGTGCTACTTATTCTTGCATTGATTATCTTGGTAAAATTTCATGCTCCCCACCATGTGTAAAATAAACATGGATTATATCGCAATGTATATCAGGCCCCCTAGACTTCGGCACCAACGCGAACACTAGTTCTGACCTCGCGAACTACGTTCCTTGCGAGGAAATGGTGGTGTGCGACTAAAGATTTCACGTTCGCGATGTGAGAACCGTGGTTCAAGTGTTAACGTAGTTCGCTGCGCGAGGTCAGAACTGATGTTCGCGTTGGTGGAAGTCTAGGAGGCCTGTATATCATGAATAATCATGGAATAAATTGCAGGGGATACACGCTGATAGAAACATGGTGATGGTTACGAAGGATGACAACGAAGTGATAAACAAGCTTGAGCAACTCATATCGAACCACATCGTGACTGGTGTCTACAAGACAGGCGATCTACTAGATGAACAAATTCTCAACACAACTAATCCACTTTCTACTCTGCGCATCAACATATACCACAGACCCAAGAAGGTAAAGTGAGGCAAGGTGCCCAGAGGATGCCTCGTCAAAAATGAGGCAAATGCGAACTCACCAAAAATGTCACGAATTGAAATAAGTATCAATTCAGGAAATTTCAATTGAAACTGTGAAAACAACTAGGATATCTTATTACATTAGCTTTAACAATTCCTGCCTGCCTCCTCTCTTCATCCATGAACATCGCCTTTAAGATCATGGTTAAGCCCCTGGACAGCTGAACACTAGCTTTAATTTCAAGGCTTTGAACCCATGATTATGGTTGAAATTTCGATAAATTAAAAAGAGCCTAATGGCCCGTTTTGAGCAACAACATGATTTTTTCTCCAAAATAAAACTTCTTTCTAACCCCCCTATCACACCAAACTAGTTCTTACCCGTTCTTACCAGTCCTACGAAAACGTCGTAAAACGGGCTCAATCTGGCTGTGATCGGGAAATATGTCTGAAATAATTAGCTTCTCCGTTCTTAAACAGTCTTCAATACGTCCATCTCGTTCGCAGTTCGTTCAGGTCGGACCACGTCGGTGTGCAACGTAGTAGAACGCGCCCTTAGTCTAGAAGGTCAACATGACCTGATTACAGAACGGTATGGTCGCCATCCGATTCAAAATTCTAAAATCACATTCCCGTCTGAGAACGTTCATAAAGTTCGTAAATAGACCTTCGAAAGTTGCAGCTACGTTCATTCCGTTCGCATACAGTTTAAAACCAGTTTTGAAGAACGCAGTGGCAACTTGTTTGGTGTGATAGCTATATTTTTGCTAACTCGTTCATAAACAGTGTTAAATACGATCTTAATCAGTTTAAACACGTTTGCAATTAGTTCTACCTCGTTCTCAACACGTCCTCAGACAGTTCAACTCGTTGTTAAAACGTCCCTAGTAGGATTGAAGTACGACGGTTCCGTTCGTAGTACGTCCAGCTCGTCGTTAGTACGTTGTCATTCGTTCTTATTGTAGAACGTGACGACCACGAGAACATTTTGAGCATTGTCTAAGTTCTAGAGGACCTACCCGTTCGAGTACGTTCGATGAAGTTTGTAAATAGATCCCAAACGGTTCTTAGTAGGTCCAGTCCGTTCGTACACAGTTGAAGCCCGTTTTCGAGAACGTAGTGAGAACTAGTTTGGTGTGATAGTAGGGTAAATGACACATTGATTCTTCACACCTCCCCTCCCAAATTGACTTCATATTGTTTGACATTTAAATTAATGCCACCGTTCCTTCCAGTTAATCACGGCAAACTGCGTTCCAATATCAGGCGCCAACAAGCGTGCCACGAATGGTGTGGTTCACGTTGTAGACAAAGTCTTGGAACCAGTCTCCCTTACACTACTCGAGATAATTAGCAAGAATCCCCAGTTCACTATCCTGAAAACTGGTAAGTTAAAGTCCAGTCTAGACTGACCAGCACAGCGCCATCTTTTTTATCAACCTCTTGCTTGTTGGAAAAATGAAGCACTTTCTGGATCCCTTCTGGCAGCATGGTCCACTAATTAGTACGGCACTTTGTTAATTGAATCATAATATTAGTATTATATTATAATGTAAATCCATCATATTAATGTAATTTTAAATGAAGTTTTAAATGAGTATATATTGTTTCAGTCCTTAGCAAGACGGGTATATCAAGAGATCTAAGGGGAGCGGGCCAATACACGCTATTTGCACCAACAGATGCTGCCTTCAGGAAGCTCAACCGAAAGTTCCAAGACAAACTTCTATCTGGGTCTCCTTGTGCTACAGGTGAGTAGGCCTAACCTATACCTGTTCACAGGTGAGTTACCTTTTTCTATTCACAGTGAGTTACCAGTGCCTATCCATGGGTGAGTTACCTCTGCCTGTTCACAGGTGAGTTACCATGTCTATTCACAGGTGAGTTACCTTTTTCTATGCACACCAATGCCTATCCATGTATGAATTACCTATGCCTATTCATGGATGAGTTACCAATGCCTATTAATAGGTGAGTCACCTATGCCTGTTCACAGTGAGTTACCAATGCCTTTTCACAGGTGAGTAACTTTTGTCTATTCATTAGTTAGATACTATACCTGTTCACAGTGTGTTACCAATGTCTATTCATGGCTGAGCTACATGAGGTGAGTTACCTATGTCTATTCACAGTGAATTACCAATGCCTATTCTTGGGTGAGTTACATATGCATATTCACTTCTAAAGTGTAACCAACAGCATGCAGTCTTTATAATTACTGCCTTAATATAAATATTAAAAAATAAATGTCATAATGAATATTTTCAGACATCGTTAAAAGTCATCTCCTTCCCTTTGTGATCTGTAGCAGCGTTATAGTTAGCAAAAGTGTGTCACGTGATATCTTGGGTCAGAGGGTCAACCTTACGAGGGATGACGACAACAAACTCTTCTTCAATGATGCACAGATCACGAGACCAGATGTCATGGGAACCAATGGTGTTCTACATGTCATCGATGAGGTTTATCTACCAGAACAAGGTATGTACAGGGGGGGGGGGGAATCCCTCGAGTATTGAATTTTACATGTAAACATGACAGCCTCATTATGGGTGAAACATGTACGAGTTGGCTTACATGCAGCTTATATCGTTAGACAAAGCCAACAAGATGCAATGATTGCCACAAGTGAATGGTATCTCTATCATTAAGGATGACTTACAATACTATTTTGCAATGACATGAACAGTCAAGTTCAAAAGCAATAGCCAATATCATGCAAAGATGGTGTGAGCAAGCACTACCTATGTCAAAGGCTGTGACTGATTCTGATATACGTATATAAGTTTCAAAATCTAACATGGCTCCCGAAGAGAGTAAAGAATGCACATAATATATTCTGGTTAACCATAGTACATTAGAAACACTGTGTGTTGTAGCCATGGATGTGCTAGATGTGGCTGATGAGTTGGAGGCCAGCAAGTTCACAGAGTTAGTTGAGAAAGCTGGTCTGACTAAGATGCTGCAAGATCTCACCAACTTTACACTCTTCTTGCCTACCAATGAAGCATTCAAGGTTTGTTTGTTTACTTGTTTGTTTGTTTATCTGTTTTGATGCTCATCACAGTGGAATTATCAAAATTCCACATCACTTTCATTGTTATCGTGGAGGGCATAAAATATATGCCATTAGTTGTGCTCAAAATGTTTCATGTGAAGTACACCCACATTTCACCCTGATGTATTTGTCCTTGGGCTCTTATAACATAGCGCAATAGGCAGCATTTAAAAACACAATAAAACAAAGCAAATGCATATCTCAAACCAAAAGGGAATGATGTTATGACTGTTGAATGTCCAAATACTGAATTGCAGAAGCTTCCAGAGGGCACATTGGAAGACCTCAAGGAGGATCCAGAGTCATTGGCTGAGCTGCTCAAGTATCACCTCACCAAACCAGATATTTCATGTAGAGATGAACTCACCAAATATTCTTCACTTACATCATTAGACCAAGACAACAATAAGATACATATCAATTCTTATAAACACTCAAATTTCTTCTTGGTAAGTACATAAATGTTTGACTGATATTTAAACCTGTCAAAATATGATTATGTCCATAAAATTGTTGAAAATGTTAAAATCCCAACCATAATCATTGATGTCTTGATTTCTGTATTGCTAGGACAACAAGTTTACATACACTGCCCAGTGTGTGCCTCTCAGCCAGAAAGGACATAGCACGTGTGGGGGAGATGTCCATGTGGTGGAAAAGGTAAAGAAGCTAATTTAATTTTATCACAACTCCAAAAAATGCCTAAAATGAAGAAAATGTCAAATTCTAAATGACAAATTGTTCACGGAGAGAGAATTGTAACAGAGAGAGAGAGTTTCTTTGTACAGCACAGCGAATTTCCAAGTGTGCTGAAGCATGGCCCAATGAAAGCAAGTAATGAACTGTGCAGTAAATACAGTCAACCTGTAAAGTGGAACACCTCTGTAATTGGAACACATCCATAAGTGGAATGCTTTTCAAAGTCCTGCAGCCTATTCACTATTCACCCAAGTGGAATACTTTGTAGAGGTACTTACAGTTGCACAGGTTTTGTTGCAGTTAGCAATTTATTGTATTGTATCAATTCTTCTTCCAGACAGTTCTTTGATTCACAATGAATAATTTCTAGAATTTGAGACAAAGCTTTCCACAATGTTTTCCAGGTATTGATGCCTCCAAGGGGAGATCTGTTGGACATTCTGTCAATGGACAAAGACTTTGGTACATTTGTTAAAATGGCCAAAATAAGTGGTGTTGCAGAAATGCTGCAAGGAGAGAGCGAATACACAATTTTTGCACCAACCAATGAGGTATATGTACCTTATCAACTGGGCAAGTCATCATATTTTTAATATGAACTGATTTAGATCCTATGAAACTGTCTAAAAATCTCCATTTAATATTATAGGCATTCGAGCAGATGGACAGAGAGACATTTGAGAGACTACTTGATGATCCTGTTTCACTGAAAGCTCTCCTCAATAAACATATCATAAAAGGTAATGAATACATGAACAAATATCATCAGTTCCTTAAATTGTTTTTTCAGAGTTCGAAACATAAACATTAGATCATTGCATAATGGTTAGTTGTATATCACTATTTTCTCACAATGTACAACATTGTCATTTACATTCCAGGAAGTCTGTGTTGTGCTGGAATCACAAGTAAAGGCTCTCCATCTTGGCCCTGGTCTCATGTCTTCCACAAAACCCACACTACTCTGGCTGGAACGCAGCTGTCTCTTTCAAGACATCGCGATGACTCCATACATGTCTCACATGGGAGGGTAACGCAATGCGACATTCTCTCAACCAATGGGATCATACATAAAGTGAACAAGATGTTTGACATGGCATCACAAAGGAATGGACGCAGGAGACATCGACCAATCACAGACCTCTGGAGATGGGACCTAGATTGGGATAAAGAGCTCAACTTGGACTGGAACTGGGACACTTAAAGTCAGGTTACTTCCAGTTTAAAGTCAAACAATGGACCAATGAATCAAATTAACTTTTTCGAAGCAGAGACTATCTATGGAAGTTTCCATGATCCAAACTGATCAAAATCAGTTGAAAAAATTGATGAAAACCATTTTGAAAATTTTGATCACACATTTTCTCTTGTGAGAATTATAATGAGCTAACAAGGCATTAACATGACAAAATGTCACCACCTAAAACAATTTGGTCAATTTAAAGCAAGTTGAAAAATTGAGAAGGTCATTAAAGGTCAAATGTAAAGTCAGATTTGAATTTCTGAGAACATGTAGATGATTTTGAAAAAAAAATTAGTCTATTTGAAGCAAGTTGAAAAAAGACCTTTTTGACCTTTTTTGAACTTGAGAAGGTCATTGAAGGTCAAATGTCAAATCTAAAGTCAAATCTAAAGTCATATTTGAATTTCTGAGAACATGTAGATGATTTTGAAAAAAAAATTAAGTCAATTTGAAGCAAGATGAAAAATACCTTTTTGACCTTTTTTGACATTGGGAAGGTCATCGAAGGTCAAATGTCAAATCTAAAGTCAGATTTGAATTTCTGAGAACATGTAGATGATTTTGAAAAAAAAATTTAGTCAATTTGAAGCAAGTTGAAAAAAGACCTTTTTGACCTTTTTTGACTTTGAGAAGGTAATTGAAGGTCAAATGTCAAATCTTAAGTCAAATCTACAGTCAGATTTGAATTTCTGAGAACACGTAGATGATTTTGCAAAAATTTTTTTTGTCAATTTGAAGCAAGTTGAAAACAGACCTTTTTGACCTTTTTTGACCTTGAGAAGGTCATTAAAGGTCAAATGTCAAATCTAAAGTCAGATTTGAATTTCTGAGAACATGTAGATGATTTTGAAAAAAAATTAGTCAATTTGAAGCAAGTTGAAAAAAGACCTTTTTGACCTTTTTTGACCTTGAGAAGGTCATTGAAGGTCAAATGTCAAATCTAAAGTCAAATCTAAAGTCATATTTGAATTTCTGAGAACATGTAGATGATTTTGAAAAAAAAATTTAGTCAATTTGAAGCAAGATGAAAAAATACCTTTTTGACCTTTTTTGACATTGGGAAGGTCATTGAATGTCAATTGTCAAATCTAAAGTCAGATTTGAATTTCTGAGAACATGTAGATGATTTTGAAAAAAAAATTTAGTCAATTTGAAGCAAGTTGATAAAAGACCTTTTTGACCTTTTTTTGACTTTGAGAAGGTCATTGAAGGTCAAATGTCAAATCTTAAGTCAAATCTAAAGTCAGATTTGAATTTCTGAGAACACGTAGATGATTTTGAAAATTTTTTTTAGTCAATTTGAAGCAAGTTGAAAACAGACCTTTTTGACCTTTTTTGACCTTGAGAAGGTCATTGAAGGTCAAATGTCAAATCTTAAGTCAAATCTTAAGTCAGATTTGAATTTCTGAGAACACGTAGATGATTTTGAAAAAAAAATTAAGTCAATTTGAAGCAAGTTGAAAACAGACCTTTTTGACCTTTTTTGACCTTGAGAAGGTCATTGAAGGTCAAATATCAAATCTAAAGTCAGATTTTGAAGGTCAAATGTCAAATCTAAAGTCAGATTTGAATTTCTGAGAACATGTAGATGATTTTGAAAAAAATTTAGTCAATGTGAAGCAAGTTGAAAAAAGACCTTTTTGACCTTGAGAAGGTCATTGAAGGTCAAATGTTAAATATAAAGTCAGATTTGAACTTCTGAGAACATGTAGATGATTTAGAAAAAAATTGAAGTCAGTCTAAACAGTATTTGTTAAGTTATAGGAAGTTGTAAGAAATTGTTACAGACGCCGGACGCCGGACGCCGGAAGCCAACCTCCAACCACCAACCACCAACCGCCGTCGCAAAAAAACGGAGACCATAACAATATGTCACCACTTTTGGTGGTGACATAAAAATGATGAGGGGGAGAAGATCATATGTAAAAGGCTTTGAAATGATATCTGCTGAAACATAAGTATTGCTTTGAATACAATCTTCATGTACAGTATAACTTTTAAAGAGGTCACATTCTTAAAGAACCTTAATGTAGATGTTTGACCAAGCTTCACTGGTGCTCACTTTGAATTTGTTCCTACTTTTACCTAGTACTCACTGAATTGGTTCTTACTTTTAATATTGGTACTCACTTTGAAGTAGTACTTACTTTGAACTGGTACTCATTTTAAACTGGTACTTAATTTTAACTGGTACTCACTTGAACTTGGTCTTACTTTGAGCTACGAGTACTCACTATGAAATGGTACTTGCTTTAAACTGGTACTCATTTTAAACAGGTAGTTTATTTTATCTGGTACTTACTTTGAACTGGTACTCATTTTAAACTGGTATTTTATTTAAACTGGTACTTACTTGTTCTTGCTTTAAGAATGTGAATCCACTCAACTTTGCATATCAATATTTAACTTCTGTATCAATTTATTCTATAATGCTAAAAGGCATCATGCAGTCATTATACAGGGTGACACAAAAAATTCAACCAACTAATTTTGGAATAACTTTAAATTATGATGGAAAATCTTCATGGATTTTTTTTGTAGATATATTAGAGAGTTCAATGCGCAATACATTGAAGTAGTTTCTGTACATTGTATTAATGATTTTGAGATTTAGTAAGATAAAGTAATTGTGAAAGTCTGAATCTGTATTTGTCAGTATTTACAAAATAAATAAGTCAGTTCATCATGATTTACAAAGATATTCTATGAAAGGACAGTAGATATAATATATGATGGATGATATATATGCGAGTAATTCAGAAATTATTCAAATAGCAGGCCCGTAGCCAGGGGGGGGGTGGTTCACAGGGTTTCGAGCGAACCCCCCCCCCTCTGGCCAAAAATTCTTTCAAAATCATGCAGTTTTTCACCATTTTGAGCACTTCTAAAGTGATTTTAGCCATATTTGAGCCAAAATTGTCAAATGTGAACCCCCCCTGAAATTTTTGAAAATTGAACCCCCCTTGGCATATCCTGGCTACGGACCCGAATAGCACTTATCTAGCTACAAGCCTTTGTCACCCCCCCCCTCCTTGCTATTACAAGTGTGAGAAGGTGTTTAGTCAAGTAGAGGGGGGGGGGCACATAGACTTGTAGCTAGACTAAAATAACACTTAAAATATTAGATTGTTGTATTGTTGTGTAACCCTGTATTAGTTATCATTAAAATTATGTTCAAATATCAAATTGTAGTTATATATGGACAATTGAAATACAAGTACACGTAATATCATAGCATTTTAGTTTCATGTAACATCAATTAAGGTCATTTTATTTGAATATTGTAATAATAAGTACTTATATTTCAAGAGTTTGTACTATACATAATATTGCAAAACAGATGCAAAATAACAAAACATCATGAACAGATAAATGCACCTTACAGGGTGTCAAATAAGTAGAAGAAGATCTATCGAAATATCGTAAGAGATTAAAATAAAAAATTAGAGACACTCTATCCTAACACATTTCTAGGCTTGAAAGCTGTTCAATAACCACTAATTTTGTCCTAATTTCATTATAAAATGAAAATATTCATGTAAGTACAGGGTGGGCCAAAAAATTTTGCAACTTTTTTAAAAGGCTAGAAAAGTATCAAAACATAAGGGTATTGCCATAAAAAAATATTTACAGAAACTTAAGGATAGGCATATTTTACCATTTAAATACTAAAGCTAAACTGGACTTCAATTTTTTTATCAGATCTTTGAATATCAATGGTCTATTGTTCATGTGTCCGAGATTTACCGTTTTCCCTAGAAAATGTTTCATTTATGTGATCAACAATAACACATACATTATGTTCACTAAATCTGTTACAATCTTGGATAACTGTTCAACCAATGTCTAGTACAGTTATATCAGTATCTAGTCATTATGATATTATGTATCTATTGATTATTTATTAAACAAATTTTATGCATCCACATTTCACCTTCTCAACATCGCGCAAGGAGACATGGGCGGAACTGGTCAATGGCGCGATCCAGCGATTCTTGTGGTAGTTCTCTCCACTTCTCCTGCAGAACTTCTTTTAGTTTAACAATAGTTTGTGGGGGATTACCATTAACTGCAATAAGCTCCTCCAGGTGCCCCCAATGGTGATAGTCACAGGAGTTGGCATCTGGGGTATTTGGCAGCCATTCATCAGGACTAATGAATCAAGGCTTATTCTCCTCCAGATATTCCAAAGTGACTTTTGCTTGATGGCTTGGAGCGATAGGGAAGGTGAAAGGGGGATGCATAGAACATTTGTTTAATAGATAATTAATAAATACAATATAACATAATACCATAGTGACTAGATACCGATATAAACTAGACATTGAGGTAGACATTGTTTAAACAGTTATCCAAGATTGTAGCAGATTTAGTGAACATTATGAATGTGTTATTGTTGATCACATAAAATCATAGAAAGTCACATTTTCTAGGAAAAATGGTGAATCTCGGACACTTGAACAATTGACCATTGATATTCAAAGATCAGACAAAAAAAATTGAAGCAAGTTTTAGCTTTAGCATTTAATTGGTAAAATATGCCTATCCTTAAATTTCTGTAAATAATTTTTTATGGCAATACCCTTATGTTTTGATACCTTTTTAGCCTTTTAAAAAAGTTGCAAAATTTTTTGGCCCACCCTGTACTTATTGAACAGTCCTTGTATCACCATTACCCATAGCATCATTGCTTATGTATATGATATATTGATATATTCAAGATTTTTTTAAATAGCCGATGTATTTAGCCAGGACTTATTTTTTCAAAATCTGTTATGATCAGTGACTGTAACCTTTTATTTCTTTTTTATGCAATTTGTATATCTAAGTACTACTAGTCAACAAAAGTTAAACAATTTGTTCATTCTATTAAAAGAATCACTTTTTAAAGAACCAGTCTGCGACATCTAACAATTTCTTCATAGTTTTGTTGTTTTAGGTGCATGGCACTAAAGGAAAGCTCTGGCTAAATACACTTACAAGCATGAGAGGTAGGACTTCGAAAGTTTAAAGTTAGATGCAAAACCTGAGTATGTGGAGGGGGTTTCAGACCCCGGTTTCAGACCAAGTTTAATGTTCATTCAACACCTTCGCCTACCCAAATTTAGTCCAATTATTTAGAATCAATCTTTTGGGCTGTTTTTATGTGGTTCCCAATGGCTTCCCTATCAATGTTGAACTTTTTACCCATGATGATAAATCATGTTTTATGAGGGATGATTGAGATTATGGTCAAACATGAAACTAGATTTACTCAGAGTTCTATCAGACTTCAAACTTTTGATGCCTCCCCTTTCTTAAGGTGTGACAGTGAGGTGTCTTAATTCTCTTTTCTACTATTGAATTCAATTGACCAATGTTCACTGGGAAAGTAGAAAGTGATCATACAAAAAGCTGTTCGTCAATGTTAAACTTTCAAACTACATGTACATGTGCTTGAGTGTTTGAAATCAATCATATTAAGGATGTGTAATAAATAAACATATATTTTTCACATAAATTCCTACTGTTACTTATTTCATATTACTGATTGCTTGCATACTCATTTAATATGAAGATATGAAAAAGGACATAATTGGAAATTTCATTTTTATCGTACCTAAAAAAGGTATCATATTGTCTTCGGCTTGACGGGCAGGATTGGCTGAGTCTCACATTTTTGTCATCGCGATTCCAGAAAAACCAATTGACGGATTTACTTTAAATTTTCACACATGTTACATGGTAAGAAGTTCAAGAGCAAATGACCTCTATCACAATCAATATGGAAATAAATGCAATTCCAAACATGGCAAAATGGTTGATGGTTCTAAAACAAGTTTTGTAAACTAAATAGAGTTACATGATGAAACCCTCAGATATTTATGATGATCGAATTATCTACCAGATGAGAAAATTTTGCAAATATTCCTTCAACACTCACAGAGTTCTTCCATGTTTAACTCAGTAGACTATTATTTGGGACACCCTGAACGTAGAACCTCAGTTTTGAATGCATCTGTTATGTACGGTTGGTTTTGGATACATGATTCATTGCGCTTGAGAAATAAGTGTGTCTTCCTAAGTCTCTGCAGTCCTCAAGAAAAACACATATTTCCCTCGATAAACTCTGTGCCCAAAACCTCCCAGTGCATAATCCTTACATATCAAATTCTTGTTGTATTCTAGGGCACTGAATACATACTCGTAGCCAGGGGGGGGGGGGTTCGCAGGGTTCGGGCGAACCCCCCCCTGGCCTAAAATTCTTTCAAAATCATGCAGTTTTTCACCATTTTGAGCATTTCTCAAGTGATTTTAGCCATATTTGGGCCAAATTTTGGAAAACTGAATCCCCTCTTGGCAAATCCTGGCTACAGGCCCGACACATATGGCTTTTCTGTTTCATGGAACAATTAAGGTCATTTCATTAAAGTAATAATAAGTACTTATCCTTTATTTAAAATGTTTGGTATTGATAAAAAATATCACAGTCATTTCTACATAATATTGTGAGGTGCAAAATAACAATACACAATAAACAAACAAACATATATTATATGTATATATGCACCTTATTTGGTAAGTAAATCTCAGTTATGTAAGCTGAAGACTTTTGAATTTGATGCTAATGTTGAACTAAACTGATGTCATTTGGAGTAGAGATTTCATGTCTAGTTCAGTTTCCTTATATATCTGAAACATCTATTTTGCTTAATCTTAATACACCTGTCCAAAATGAACTTGACACAGAAGCACACCCGGTGATCGTGAATATGGGACGGAGGGGGGGAGCACGCAATTTCTGCTAGGAAATTCAACAAATCTGGAAGATTTATTTTTTCAAGAAAAAGTTTACTATTGAATTGCTAAATGGATAGGCACACGGTATGGTAGAATATGTTAGGTTTTCTGGGATTTTTTCTGAAGCGATACGCATCTAAGGTATGAGATCTATTAAAAAAGGCGCAAGGCCATCAACAGGCACAAAGCAACGTTTTTGCTATAAATCAAGCAACAATGATCTGGACGACCTGTAATAAATACTTGTAAGTGATGTTATCAAAGCTAAATTAATGTCATTGCTGAATTTATAAAATAAGTTTCCATATGTGAAATAAAAAATAATCGAAAATAATGAATTTGGGACGGAGGGGGGGAGGGGACGGAGGGGGGGAGCAATATGTATATAAGACATGATTAGAGATGTTTCGCGACTTTAAGTCCTTTTACTCCAAATGTCCCCATTTTTCAGTCTCCAGGGGTATATCATCCAGTTTCTTACTAAGTTAATGAGTTCATTTTTCAAATACAAGAATTCGTGTGAAGTTGTTTCACTTTATAGAATTATTACTCCCCCCCTCCGTCCCCTCCCCCCTCCGTCCCATTTTAATTATTTTCGATTATTTTTTATTTTACGTATGGAAACTTATTTTATAAATTCAGCAATGACATTAATTTAGTTATGATAACATCACTTACAAGTATTTATTACAGGTCGTGTAGTCCATTGTTGCTTGATTTATAGCAAAAACTTTGACTTTTGCACGTTGGTTGCGTTGCGCCTTTTTTAATAGATCTTATATCTTAAAAGAGTATCGGTTGAAAAATAATCCTAGAATACCTAACATATTTTATCATACCGTGCGCTTATTCAATTTGCAATTCAATCGTAAACTCTGTCTTGAAAAAATAATTTTACCAGATTTGTTGAATTTTCTAGCGGAAATTGCCTGCTCCCCCCCTCCGTCCCATTTTCACGATCACCGGGTGTGAGAAGTTTTGAAGTGTTCAATATGTTTTTGAGATAAACAATGAAATGTTTAAGTATGGTATATATTAAAGGGCAGGTAGCTGTAATTGTCACCCTAAACCTAAAATTTTTTTAAACTCATCATGTAAGTCTTAAGGCAAGGAATATTTTTCTAGCTCTGATATTTTGAGAAAAAGGTTTATACGAAATGTTCATTGGTGATCAGATTATTATGAATACCAAAAAGAAACATTTCAAGTTTATCAAGGATCAGCATTACATGTACAGCCACTGCCCTTTCATTGTTCAGTCTTCTTATGCTTGCTGGTTGGCAACAGGGAGAAAGTCACAGTCACAATTCACAAAACATGTCGATGATCATCAAGCTATCAGCATTAACACTAATACTACATGTCTCTGATATTTAACAGTTACATGTACTTAGCATTCCACTAAATATGTGGTAATATATAATGAAATGTAAAATGTGAAATATATTAACATATCTTTAAACATGAATTTCTGTGAATGAGAGAATACTTCTAGAGAAACACTCTAAGTGTTACACAACATACAAGTGAGACGTATTACCCTACCAACATGAACATATGAGTAAGTGTCTCAAGTTTAATCTAAATAATAAAATTCTGTTGTTTTTCTTCAATGTATGTGACTTACAATAAGAGGCAGTTTTCCAGTATCATCTCCAATGAAACTTTGTATTATTACATTTTTAGTTCATGTCATAAACTTACAGAAATACCATGATAAGCCATGTTACTTTCATACATCTATCTCTAACTTTGACTTGGTGCCTTTTTAAAATGAATCATTAAAATACAATGATGACAAAGATGGAGAGTTCTACAACAGAACCCTTTTTAGTTTTATTGGTTACATACGTGTAAGCAGCACCTAATACACATTTTGTCCAGCAGGCCCATAGTCAGGGGGAGAGGGTTGGGGACCCTTGGCCAAAACAAAAACTTGTTCAAAATGTGTTATCATTTTCATTTTGCAAATAATTTTGGGCCAAAGTTGTCAAACGTGACCCCCATGGAATTTTTGAAAAGTGAACTCCCCTTGGCAAAAGCTGGCTATTGCTTATCTTAAAAACAAATCTTTACATCACTGTTCTATTGGCAATTGTCCTACATTACAAACAACATTGATATAAATCAACAGGTATGAGTACCTGAATCTATCTATAGTTTTTGGTGATATAATTGAAAATATCATAAAATCAGTAAAATATATGAATCTGATGAACATAGCTAAACTATGAGGCAGGCATTAGACAAGTACCTCACCAAAATCTTCAAAAAAACCACTTGTAACATTATTTTTGACTGAACCCAAAATTTGTTTTATAGAAGTATAATAGAGAAGTTTCGCACAACATTTTTATCCCAGTGTACCTAAAATCTTTTAAGCATTCACCAGATTTATGCGTAGTAGTTCAATTAAATAAGATGTGTTTGCGGATACATTTTAGCTTTAACCCTCTGTGTGAAACCTCTCTAATATCTTCTTTGCCTCACCCATTTTGCCTCACCAATTATTGATCCGGGCAAGTCGCTTAATCTAAAATCAATATGCTTAAGTAATGGGCCCCGAAAAGATACTTATGTGGAGTCCTATGTAACATTATTTTACCTCTGAATGGATGGAATGAATGGCAGTTTTCTATAGTTCTTATGAAGACCTAACAGACCTGCAGGCAACAATGACATGACTTCCAACTCTGGAGTCATCGATTATATGAGCATGGAAAAACTTAGCACAGTCCCTGTATTGAAACTCTCCTAAGAGAGACAGCAAAGAGGAATGCAGTGTATTGAACATCACAAGGTGGGTGGGGAGGCTGCTCGCATTATGGAATGTCTGCCTCAACACGTGTTTTGGATTCTGGTAGAATAGGTCTGCTTCGTCTGTGTAGTTTTGCAGGTGGTCGAGGTTGGGTTCGCATGTGAGGAAGTTCATGCTGATGTTGTGGTGGATATAACTGCAAACGAAGATGATGGAGCTTGAGTTTAATTTAGCATTTGTACTGGCATATTCATTACAAATGCAAGTAAAATCCAAATACTCAAATGTCTTAATAATGAGTAGTACTTTGAATTTGTTTTTATTGAAAGGTAATGAGAGAAAAATCACATGTGTATTCAACAATGAGCGGTCATTATTGTCAATCATCAATGCTTTAATATTTTTCCTTTAAAAACTAACAAACATGGGAAAGATAAAAAAGGTTTCATTAAAGTGGTCTCCCAGGACTTTTTGTGAGATGTTTTAGAGCAATATCTAAGAATTGTAACAATATTTGTGCAATATTTTAGGTTTGTGCATATTTTGGGCAACATTTAAGGATTTCCTTATATTTCAAATAGGAAGAACATTGAAATGAATTGAGGAGTATTTTGGTCTTATGACAATCTTTAAGGTGATGTGCTTCAGTGATTTCAATGTGGCAAGACAATCTTTAAGGTGATGTGCCTCAGTGATTTCAATGTGGCAAGACAATATTTAAGGTGATGTGCCTCAGTAATTTCAATGTGGCAAGACAATCTTTAAGGTGATGTGCCTCAGTAATTTCAATGTGGCAAGACAATCTTTAAGGTGATGTGCCTCAGTAATTTCAATGTGGCAAGACAATCTTTAAGGTGATGTGCCTCAGTGATTTCAATGTGGCAAGACAATCTTTAAGGTGATGTGCCTCAGTAATTTCAATGTGGCAAGACAATCTTTAAGGTGATGTGCCTCAGTGATTTCAATGTGGCAAGAGCAGTACATCATAGAAACAACATTAATCATTGTACCTGTAATATGGCGTAGAGTGACATGGCATGAGGAACATTACATCCATCCCTGCTTTGTTGTGCCGCATCCCTGCCTCCGTAGCAAGGTACCTCATAACATCAATGGTGCCTCGCTGATGCAACAGACATGTGTACAGAGCTATAGGTAGATTTGTCATAAGCAGTGCTGCTAGAATGTAGCGTAATTTCATTACAGGCTGAAGAAGTATCAACCAGCGTGTATACACATAAGCCAACACTTTCACAAACTTGTAGTTTCTAAAAACTATAAGCAGAGTATATAGCTGCTTTTTCAGTTCTTTTAGTCTGATTTTGTGTATTTTTCCAAAACAAGATATTGCAGAATGAGATTTAGAGACATTTGCGTCTTTCTGAGATTTCTTTTGTGAAGTTTTGTTAAAATGTTTTGATTTTGCATTGGATTTGTCTTTGGTTTCTTTACCCATGCTTTTATTTTGGTCATTTGAGTCACTGTCATTGACAATCTTTTCATCACTCCCATCTTTCATTTTTGGGTCAAGTTTACTCTCCTGATTTGCGTTAGTTGCTGTTATTGCACTTTCATTTGTTGTTGCATCTGGCTTGTCACTTTTATTCTCATCAGATTTATCAATAGACTCAGGTTTAACATCACTTTTATTTTCACTCTCTTTGGATTTGGATTTTGGTACATCGGAACTATCCTTAATAGATATACTCTCATTGGTATCTTTAGCTGTTTCACCATTATCTTGGGATGTTTCCTCAGTAGGTTTAGATGTTTCTTCAGTATCTTTCATGCCTTCCCCCATATCTCCAGCAGCTTCATCAGTCTCCTGTATAGTGGAGTCTGGAGGCAGGTTGGGGACAAGGTGATGCAGGGGTTCTATTGTGATTTCTTTCCCCCACTCCCTGACCACATAGCTGATATAGCGGCCACAGATGTGCATACACAGAGGCAAGATTGGCATGATGAACCTGAACTCTTTGTGACCCAGCATACTGGAAGAAAAAAGAAACAATCATGACCAATACTCATTGTGAGCAACTGTTGCTACTTACAGTATTTGGTAAGTAACTGTAATGGTAGTAAAAAAGAAATATAAGTAGATTAGACTTACATTACCCAATCAGGAATATTCAAGAAAGTTTATCACCTTTCACGAATGTTTATTAGATAAAGTTCAAGAAGTGCTCTGTTTAGTCTGTTATTATATAAAATCAATTTTACTTTAATACTTAACAAGAATTTTAATTTTTGGTAAAACTGTTTTTTCTATGTCCACATATAACTTATAATCAAGATATTGTGTACTGTACCTATATGCAAAGAGCAGCCAAACAATGATGGCCAGCACTGCGGGGTGCCTGATCCTTGGGAGCCCCATGAGGAATGGAATGGTGTGAGTAGCTAGCACTACAGGGAGGCCCTGAGTCAGGTACCAATGGGCAGGGTGGGACCCATAGAATGACCCCATGTCATGTAGCACATTGAACTCAAGGAAGTTGTACTGGACAAACACCCATCTACCATAGAAGACATGGTCAATCCAGAAAGAACAGAGAACTGAAACGAGACTGAAACAGAAAGAAAATCAAAAATACATGAAAAACAACAATAAAAGGATCTTTTACATTTTTTTGTGAATTTTCCATCAAAACTTTTTCAACAGTAAAGATTTATATATTTCTTTGTTCCAGTAATGGTACAAAATGCTTACCCAACGCCCATGTAAAGTTTGATCATCTTAAAGGGGATGTCTCGCATCATCCACATGTGCCAGCAGAATAGAGGGAGCCACAGAATGGCGGCTGTTGGACGGACAATGATTGAAAGAGCAGCAAGAAGAATGAACTCTAGCTGTGTCTTCCTTAAACAATAATGAACAAAACAATAATGAACACTCAAAAGATGTATATTATAAGTCTTATAATTGAAAATTTGTTGCATAGAAGTAGGGACATTGTACAATATGACATACAGGTTTCATGTATTAAGAAATCCTTCATGTAGAATATCTAAAAGATAATATCTAGGGAAACAAAAAAACATTAATTTGGTACTCTAGAGAATTAATATCTAATAGCCAAGCTACAAACCCTTGTGAGCCCCCCCCCCCCAACTACAAGTGCTGCGTTCGTGAAGTAGATAAGGAGGGGAGGTCCAGAGTCTTGAAGCAAGGCTAAAATCTAGTAGCAATATATGAGACAATATATCTCAGTCTGAATAAACTTTGGCAGTTACCTTGAGGTCCCAGGCCAGGGGAAGAAATAGAGGCCTATGACACAAAGTGTTGTCTCCATGGAGTTAGTAACAGTCCTTGGGCCACAGTAGAACATGAACCAAGACATCAACTGGCAGAGCAGGGTGTATTGAGCAGTTTTGCCATCTGATAGTTTCTTACTAAGTTTATAGGTGTAGAGATCACAGAATGCCGTAGCGATACCTTGAATAATCCTGGGCAACTTTACCTTACAAATAAAATATAAATTACATAATGTCATGTATGTTTTAATTGTACCATTAACGCGCGTATGGGACTATGTTAATAAAGTTAGTTACAGAGGACAAATTAGGATAAGGTGATGCAAAGAGTATACTAAAATCCAATACATGCACTGCACTATACACATTGTTTAATTTGTTAGTAGACCTACAATTCATTTTAGGGTAACATAACACAGATGATGCTAACAAACTCATTGTATACCCATTGAAACTTGTGTCTAATTCAATAAGCTCCACATGATATCCAACAAAAAACTTCACATAGATTAAAGTCTTTTTATGAATATAATGGCCAAAACTTTATCAAAAATACTTTCGAAAAATTGGTAATTATTACGAGAAAAAATCATTTCCAGGGCACTACTAAGAGGAAATCTGTATAGGTAAAGATTACAAAAGACATGGAAGCTCTTTCAAACTGAGCTACTTACTAGTAGAACAGCATAGTCTAATCTCAGGACCCCAAGTACTTTGTAGACTATAGAAAAGAGCAAAGGGTATGTGTATCCTCTAAGTCCTTTCCTCCATTCCCATGTCATGTGGCCATAACTGAAAAACATAACACTTTTGATAAATCATTATTCTTGATATGTTTCATGTGTAATGTTTTCGTACTTTTTTTCTTCAATATTGGTCAGTATTTAAGAGATATACGACATGACAGACAGAAAGTACAGAAAGTACAGTATACTAGTAGATTACTCTAATTAAGGTTCTAATTAAGGTTTAGCTAAATGTTTCAATGAACATATGCAATTCATTATATACACATGTAATGAACATGAACAGTAAATCCTGTCTAAGAGGAACATATGTGGTACACTTGGGAGGTATTCCACTTATAGAGGATTATTTAACAGTAAGTAAGTCATTCTTGGGACTCTGAAATGTTCCACTTATACAGGTGTTCCACTTTACATATTTCATTGTACCTATGAAATTCTATGGTAGACAAGAAACAATGAAATAATCCTAAATGTATAGTTTAGTTTAGTTTAGTAGTTTCTATTTGACAAAAAAACAGTTCAATTTGTGCCAGAAGTTTTTCATGAATCGTATTAGAACCCTACCCAAATGCCATGTTATGTGCCACTTCTAATGATTGCCAGTATTCATCGGGAACAAATGACGTCTGAATCATCAGTGCGTTGATGCAGCGAAATGCAACCAAACCCAAGAAAAGTCGTTTCTCTGACGACATAATCTTCTGTAGTACAGAGACTTTAATAACATTTTCATCAGGCTGAATAGAATCTTCAACATCGGATTCTGCAGGTGACTTTGGATGAAAATGAAGCGTTCCCTTTCTTCTCCGTATGGTGGCATATCCTTTGTTGTTTTTTCTGACCATTTTGACAATTATCTGAAAAATATGTACATAAAAATTATGCAATATATCTAAGCTAGAGGTAAAAATAAATTGATGTATCTCGTACTAAAAGATGTATCCTGCACGTGGAGTCTTATAAACTACCCTCTGTCTTGTATAAACTATATTACAGTTTAGTAGTCCTGCAGTCTGAATACTTTCAATCCAAATTTCAAGGACTCGAGGATAATTAGTCTAGCTCATCCCCATGACCTATGCCCCTGACAGCGCAGATCGAAATAATTTCACACCCAGCACGCTGATCTTTTCTCAACCAATCAGCGAGCTGGAACGAACACATGCTAAGTGGGTGCTAATCAACTATGCGATGATGTCAGAGTAAATTACCATATATAGAAAGTTGTCCGAAACTCCGAAAAATTGAAGTCACGCCTTGTTTTTTTAGCGTGACAAAATATGTCACGCAAATATGCATTTTACCTGATTGATTGATAACCTGATTTCTTTGATGAGTAAGAGTGAAGAAAGATTTACCTTCTTCTAAGACCACTGTATCGTGAATTGGCTTGAGACTCAAGTAATGAAAGATGTTTTCTAGGCCCTATAGAATTTTTTACATTTTCCTCACAGAAAATATGATTTTCCTCTACTATTTTTTGTAGCCTGGGAATGCAATAAATTGCAAACAGTTTACCTTTTTAAGAACTAAAGCATGGTTGATTCTTAGCAGGATAACATCGCTTGTGTACTCAGCATTGTTTATGTTGGTAAAACACCGAAATATCCAGTAAATGACACGTATAATATAGGAAAAATCAAATAAATTATTGATTTGTTTTATTTCACATATTATCGCCCACTGAAAACGCCACCTGGTGAGTGAAGTTCCTGGGCGTGAAAAAAAAGAAAAAACTTATTTGTCAATATTTGACACTATTCGCAGCAATAGACAGAAGGTAATATGTTTAAATTGTTTATAGAATAAAGTTCTTTCATAAAGTATACCAAATTTATTCCTAAAAGGTGAATAAAACTGAAAGTAGATCTGGGCTAAGAACAGTCCATTTTTTCAGTTTTCTCTCCTTCATTACATAAAAAGATCATTCAAATCTAAAAATAAGCAACCAAGACCACCTAGTGCAGTAGTATATGGATAAATACATTCACATCATATATGCTAAACATTTGTTTATTTTAGATATATTAGTTTATGTCATCTTTTTATGTAATGAGGCTAGGCTACTCATTGCCAGTATCCATAGATGACTCGTCATAGAATAATACATGTACCAACGAAGCTGAAATTACCAGTTTCTTTCTCCAAATATTTCAAATTATATGCATTATCATCGGATCAGAATTCTGAGCAATAATCACCCCCCTACTACATTATAGAAGTCGCAAAAGTTTATCTGGTTCCAGGACAATAGTCCTGCAAACATCCTTATATGTTGTCTGTATAATTACAACATAGGGAAATTTTGGGTGTTTCAGGATTATTTTTAGTAGTTGAATCACCAATCCTATGGATTTATCTTACTCGAGTCTCTTAAGCTTACAACTTGATGTAACTTCATTGATTTCGTATGTATACTGTATATAATCTAGAAAAAGTGTCAAATGCATTTAGAACTCCTATTTAATAATTCTTATAAATATTAATAAGAATATTAATCATATTTAAGTTGAAGCTTTGCTTGTATTATTATTTGTTATGGATTATTTTCCCGATTAGTGTTTGAGACTTTTTATATGACAAATAACTGTTATTGATCAGGAAATACATGTACTCTAGATCAATACATCACTTCCCCCCACAGTGAACAATTTAACCAATAGTCTACTGATGTATTCAAGAAATTTAAAGGGCTTGAACTACTATTGATTCCAGCACTTAAATTCACAATGGCGGGTAACTACTACTTTGCCATAGTTGGTCACCATGACAACCCAGTATATGAGATGGAATTCTTCCCCGCTAACAAAACTGTTGAACCAAAGAAAGATGATCATCGACATCTTAACCAGTTCATAGCACATGCAGCCTTAGACCTTATCGATGAACAAATGTGGAACACGTCCAGTATGTACCTGAAAATAATCGACAAGTTCAACGAATGGTTCGTATCTGCCTTTGTGACGGCTAGTAGGATGAGATTCATTATGCTGCATGACATCAAGAATGAAGATGGAATTCGAAATTTCTTCCAGGAAATGTATGAATATTACATCAAACATTCCATGAACCCTTTTTATGAACTAAACACACAAGTTAATTCAGTGAACTTTAACAAGAAAGCTCAAAACTGTGGGAGAAAGTTCTTAACTGGATAGGAGTCTTATTTGTGTGAGTTGGATTTATTTGACGAACATACATTATGACCAAAATGTGTAATATGTGCAATTAGGATTACCTTGCAGAATATGTATATATATATAGGAATTAAGATGAACAATTCGGGATGGATTAACTGATAATGATGATCTAAGTGATGATAAGCAAAGTATGATAGATGAACATTGAATCTGGATGTGATCATACATTAACAGCCACACAAAGATGGACAATATAATAACACGGGATAATCTGATACTGTGATTCTGACAGCTGTCAAGGACACAAGGTGGAATAATTATAATCATATTGCAAAGGTGATTGGACTAAAGGATAGTGGCAAAGACTTCAAACCACATGACTGGATTATAAGATATTATTTGATTAAATGCCAAAATGAGATAATACTAACTGTCTGGTTATTCCTACCATATAATGTTCAAAATTACAAGTGATATGATAAAATATGTTTTGTTCAGTGGGATCTTCTACACTGGGGAGTTGTTGTTGCTGCCCTAGTTGCCATCATGACCAAGTTATTATCATGTGGAGGTGGTGTCGATAGAAACATTGACTTATTGTAAATTAATCAAGATACTCAGAGAATCTTTCTTTTTGAAACCAAGCCTGGATGATACAAAATTACAGAAAGAATATAATAATACAATGTTTTGAAAGCAAATTACAAATATTTGTTGTCTCTTTTTGGCTGACAACAAGAGTTTCATTACAGCAATTCTTTGCCTGTTGTTTTCATTTGTTTGACTGTTGTCAGTATGCAACCCCTGGACTGTGTCTTGCCATAATGTTGGAGGTAGACATAAACAAAGACACGAAACATTCTAAATTTTATCATTAATATTACTGTACATCATCAACAAAACCAAAACCTGTACTTAAATGATGTTGCTAAATAGTATACTATTTATAGTTTTGTCATTTACAGTAAAACCTTCAACGTGAAGCCCCTCTTAGATTAATACCTCTCTGGTGATCATTTTCATGGCTCACATTTGTTTTGTTCCTGTGTTAAATCCATCTCTCTAAAATGAACACCCCCAAACTTATTTAATTAACCTAGTTTTCTTGATCACAAATGTGTTCAACAGTTCATACTATAACAGTTTTATATATCTATATGAAATTGAAAAAGGTAAGTTTTGATTTACAAAATGGAAAATTGTAATTAGATGTGGAATCAATGATATATGTTGAATTTTCAAAATAATTTAAAGGGACAAGAAGGGATCGAGATGAGATGATTTTAGAGAAAGTTTTGGAAAAATTGTCAAAATATTTTTTCCTCTCATCATTCCATGTCGTTTATTACAAAGCTCAACTGTTATCTCGCAAAAATGGAAACAATGGACATCCCCTTTTCCAATTTTGATGAAATCTCAATTCCTTTTTCAGAAGAGGGGATCATAAAAGCTTTTAGAACAAGATTGCTTCCAATATTCTGCACTCTATTCCATCGCATTCCTTTAATAAGGCTAAGGCAGCAATGTTTTATAAACTTGATGAATACATTGATTTTGTTCTCAGATGCAAATTTCTTTTCAAGACGAGAATTGATATGAACATGGGTTAATCCTTTAATTTGGAATCATACACCAACCTAACAATTTTGAATTATCTGTTTAGTGTGAAGCATAAAAGAAGAGCCTTAATTGATAACATGGTACCAACTCTAGAGTTCATTTTTTATACAGTGACATCTGTAAAGTGGAACACCTCTAGAAGTGGAACATCTTTAAGTGGAATACCCAAGACCAACTGACTTAATGTTAAATGAATGAGTGGAACACTTTTAGAGGTACCAAAGGTGTGAGACAGGTTTTTCTGTATAACTTAATTTACCACCTTGGTGATCCTAAGTAAAAATACATCAATAATTTTTATGAATTATATTTAAGCAACATGTCAACTGCGTTCAGCTCTGATGGGTCATCCCTGATGGAGCCTACAATATCAGAGGGCGCCACTGAACATAAACCTGAAATCAACATTGAAAGAGACTTTGATGTGAAGAGAACCATTGAATGGATTTGCATCAATAAATATGAAAGGGTGAGTTTATGAAACAGTAAAATGCCTATTATTGTGTTAGTAAGAAACCTTGGTCAAGTTTCAAGTTGACCTGTTACCATTAAAGATTGTTTTTGCCGATTTGATGATGATTTTAAACCATTATATTTCATTATATATTAAATGTTTATCCAGAAGTATAAGTAATTGTCTATAAAACTTGAATCATAACAACATGTGAATTTCATAATTCAATGAATAGGTGGCGTTACAATTTCCTGATGAGCTACTGTGCTACTCTGCTAGTATTGTGGGAGCTTTGCGGCAAGCAACATCAGCCTTGCTATTCATCCTTGGAGACACATCATATGGAAGGTATGTTCCTACACTATGCAAGAGCTCCATCTCATTTATCTTAAAGTAAATTCAATTTTCCAGCCTATAACACATCCGGTAATTTAACAAAATGAATGGAGGGGAGGAGACGATATCTGCTAGAAAATTCAATAAATCACAAAGACATTTTTCCAGGTATTGAATTGCTAAATGAATAGGCTCACAGTATGGTAAAACAAGTTCGGTCTTTTTTTTTATCTTAAAAGCATATCAGCCATCAGGGAAAAAATCCTAGAATACATATGACATTTTCCCATTCTGTGCGCCTCATTTAATATAATCTAAATCAAGTAAAATGGTTTTCTAACACCTTGTAACTCCATGTGAAAAACAAAAACCTTATTTTCTTGATTCCTTGACTCCAGTTGCTGTGTTGATGAGGTTGCGGGAGAACATCACAAAGCTGATGCATTGGTGCACTATGGCCATAGCTGTCTCAGTCAGACAGGACGTCTCCCTGTTCTGTTTATATTTGGTCAGAGACCCATAGATGTAGAACACTGTACCTCAGTAATTACATCCACCCTTAATGATGCTGCTCTCCCTGTGGTCCTGATGTATGATGTAGCATACAGACACGCTATTGGTATGTATCAATACACTGATTTATTGATGAAAAGTACGCAACTGAAGCTATGTTATTTTATTTACAAGATTTGTTTTGATTAGCATTCATTTTATTAATGGAAATATAAAGAACTGAAAAAATTGAACAAATGATACAGCCCTAGGCTAAAGAACCATTCCTTGATTATATTAAAAGTATGATATTTGCTATTTCCAGGATTAATAGAAACAGAACTAGGGAGATTCTATGAGACATTTGTGTGTTCATCTCTAAATCTGCCTGAATCTGAATCAAACTCAATATCCTCCAAAGAATCACAGGACACAGTACATTCTGAAGAGTCTCAATCTGCTAGGCTACATACTAAATGTGGCAGGACGTTCAAAATACCCGAGGGCACCAATCTTGGAGACTTTACCATATGTTTCATTGGAAGTAGTAGTTTAACTATGACTAACATTAGAATGGTGTATAATCAGTGTCAGCTATATAGTTATAACCCAGAGTCCATGGAATGCAATATGGAAACCCCAAATTCCAATAAACTGCTTATGAAACGTTATGTCATGGTTGAGAAGGCTAAGGATGCGAGTATTGTAGGGATTGTCATGGGAACTTTAGGAATCAAGGACTATCTACAAACATTAGACAGGATGAAACATTTATGTAAAATTACAGGCAAGAAAACATACACCTTTAGCATGGGGAAAATTAATGTGGCCAAACTGGCAAACTTTTTAGAAATTGATGTTTTCGTGCTGATATCATGCGCAGAAAATACCCTGTTGGATTCTAAAGAGTTTTATAAACCAATCGTAACACCATATGAGATGGAGCTGGCCTGCAATGAGAACCTACAGTGGACGGGGGAGTACGAGACAGACTTTAGACAACTCAATAAAAGTAAGAGTTCAAGATAATTGCTATTATCTGATACCGATTCGGGATGAAGGCTTGAATTTCATAGGCAAAACCAGGGTCTAAAAATAGTCAAATTGAAGTAAATCTTTACAGTTTAAAAACATATTTAGCCATATTTTTGGGTCCCTGATTGAATTTGCTTTTTAATTGAAACCCTGCCCGAATCTTAACTTTATTCACTGGCAACTTTCATGTATGATTAATGAGGAAAGATATCTCATTACATTATTATGTAAGATATGTGCAAGAATGAGATGTAAAATATCTTGTTTTCCAAATTCCAGTTGAAATCTCAGAAGAGCCCAGAAAACTAGAACATGACGTGTCAATAATCACGGGAAAGATCAGGACGCTTGGTGTTGAAGAAGTACAAAATGAATCATCAGGGGCCCTCTTGTCAAGAGATGAGGCACTAACACTCGCCACACAAGATGCTGGAGGTACATGTACTTTTTTGAAATCTTTCTTCATAGTTTTATCAATTCCAACTCAATTCAAGTGTTTTACCTCTGAAATGTTTCTACAAGGCCAGGATTGATTTTGTTTGCTTTTAAACAATGGTTGTCATTTTTATTGCCAAACAACACTTTTTGACCATTTTTATTCTATAAAAAAATATAGGTAGCACAATGGAACAATAACAATACGTCTATGAGCAAAAAGAGTTTGCAAAATTATTCCAAAGTAGCAACCAATTTTAGTGTCCAATAGTCACAATTTTATTGCAATTATTGTAGCTAATTTGAAGATGGTGTTGCAAATATGTCACGATGACCTTAATCATTATATGTATTTTAATCAAATTGTATTTTTTAAAGTGAAAATACATTCAATAAAATATATTTGTAATCTGATAGAAAACCAAATCCTAGTCAGTCAAGCTGAAATTCAATTTCTCTGAAACATTCCAAGATTTGATTGACAGGTCTATTTTTGCACTTTCCATATTTGGGTGAAATATATAACATGTGTTATAACTTGAAGGTCAAGCTGATCTGGTCAACCTCTAAGGACATTTTAAAAGGCTGATTTGTCAAAAAGTAGTCAAATCTAGCTTTGGTTTTCTCTGCTAAAACATATTTTTGTAAAAAATTAGGTTTCAAACCAATCTTGTGTATCCAATATCAGATTATTTGTCCAGTTTTGATAATAAATTGTGCAGATTTAAAATGAGATTTTAGGAGTTATTTATGGGACTTATTTGTCAAAGAATTTTTGGTTGATAACTTGATATTATAAATGTTTATAGATGTTGTGCTATAATTCAACATAAAGAAGCTTCCTCAACTCACAGTTCAGAAACTACTTAATTTTTAAAGGACACTTTTATTGTGGAAAATACATACACATGAGTCAAGAATTATGGCTTTGGTTTGCAAGAAATCTCTCCAGTTTCCACTTTGACTCCAACAAGTTGTATATTATACAAAAATTCCAAAATATATATCTAATGTGTCACTGTTGATTTACAGCTAACTTCCTGCATAGTAGACAGTGGCAAGGACTGGAGCAGAAGCTAGGAGAGACTGAAGTTGTCAAGGCAGTCAAGGGACAAACTGGTATAGCCATGTCCTACACTGATGGAGCTGGGGGAGACAATACGCAACCAAGATAATGAATAGACTGAGCATTTGTGTGTGGCCTAAGGCAGTCCAGAAAGTCGATACAATCAATAAGGCAGCTTGGTAGACAATATATGACAATAGTGAATACAAGGACTGAGCATGCTTGATAATAAAGCAGAATTCTAAAGAGAAAACCAGGATCCACGATTCATATTACCCTAGATGGTTTATTGGTCTCAAGCTTGATTCAATTTGTCTTGGAATAAAATATTTTTCTCGATGGAAATAATCTTGTTTTAGTTTTATATTGATAATAGAAGCAGCTCAGTTATAGAGCCTATAGAACATTTCAACAAATAGGATTCAGATCATCAGACTCAACTTGAATTTAACAATACATGTTTAGGTAATACATTATCGTTTGCCTTAACTAGAATTTATTCAGATTTAAATGAGCATTCAAACAAGAAGAAGCCTCATAAGTCGATGCAATCCCCTGACAGTCTACTCTCTTACCCAGGTATGGTCCCCACTTCTGCAATATTTTATTTACAATAAAGCCTCGTTAAACTGAAAGGACCTTATACACCCTCCATTGGGATCTCCCCATGGGAAAAAAATAATTCATCTGATTTTTCAAAATGAGTATTCTGCTTCAATTATTACATTTATATGCACACTATGACTAGTATCTTGTTGACCTATATTCAGCACTGTATTGATGTATAGGCCACTTATTAGGGTCATAATTCAATCATGAAGTGTAGAGGCATAGATTCCAAACCAGGAAGTATTTTTGTGTCTGTCAAAATCCATAAATACATCCTACGCATCCCTGCATCTTATCCAAATATGTTACTACATAATGAAATATAATAGTATAATCTTTGGTTTTACAAACTTGTATGATATTTGATAAGTGTAAAAGTTGTTTTTGGAGCATTTTTCTATAGCCATTTTGTAGGGAAAAAAATGATGAAAAAATGTACAATCTTTTAATTTTAAGTATAACCTGAATCGATTGCAAACTTCATATTTGCACATTTGATGAGATAAACCATTTGTGTCGTATTGTGAAATTATTAAGTTTGCAATCGATTCAGGTCATAGTGTATTTTTGGTACTTCTGTGATAATCAATGGAAACCAATGGCCTCTATTGGGATCTGCTGATATCCTCATGTTAAGTCAATGGTGCACAGCCCCATGTAAGTCAATACAATCTAACTGAACGAAATGATCCCTATCTCAGCTTATGTGTGTCCGAGCACTTTAATATTTTCCAAAGTATTATATGACATTTTATTCTTCATGTTACACCTACGAATGATTCATTTTGACCATAGGGATATTTGCCAATAATTGCACATTGTCCTTTCATTGTGAACCTTAGCATGGCTTCAAGCATGAAATTTCCTGAAAATTGAATGGTGAAAGACCTGGGGTAAGCTTATGGTGCCAGGTTTGGGAGAAATTTTGAAGAAATGAGATTTGATTGAGTGCCTTTTAAAATTAATGTAGACCCATTTACATATACAGTACTTTAAATTTAGAGAAAGTATTTTCATAGGAAAAGATTAAACAAATATGACCTGATTTTGAAACCCTTGCTTGATCCCTTATGCTTGATCCGCCAAATCAAGTGTATCTACAGCCAAATCAAAATGGTTACCAAATCAAGTGTATATACAGTATCGAATAAGAATGCTAAGGGGGGGGGGGTCATTGAAAACCAGAGGGGCACCAATTCATGTCGGGCAAAGGGGTGTAACATCGACACCATTTTGGGGGTAACTGACATGTGGGTTAACCTAGACACCTAATTGTTTATTTGCTCTAATTTCCAATCTAGGGGGAAGATTTTCTTTTTTCCAGAAATCAAACATGGTGGAAAATGGAAAAATGTAAGTGTCCAAGTTACCCCGTCTCTTATGTCGACTTTATCCCACACGTCGACGTTACACCCCTTTGCCCTAAATCTGTATATATGGAGTTTTAGTAAAAAAGAAAATAACAAATGGTTTATTTATAGTTTTCAACTTTTATTTCAGCCGCAATCTATATAACATTCTATGTCGTTATAACAACAGTGATTAAAATATTCTTAGAGAATACATTAAATAAATCAACTATAAAATCTTATACAGTTTCAAGAATAAAGCTACAAGTCTTAATAATAAAGTGCTAGGAGTTGTTCATAAGGCTATGATTTGCTTAACTACAATACTCAAACAACATAGACATAACATGCACAATCTCAGGTGAAAGAGCTTGGATCTCTCCCACCTTAATCTATACAAAGCTACGAGCCCCGCATCCAATTCTTAGTATAGTTTCACTGTTAAAGGAACCAACTATGAATTTGGGATATTTCCCATTATACAGGGCTATCCATACATTTACTAGCTAGGCTATAATATGTCGCAGCGGCAGCAGCCATTATGTGGCACAATCAATTTGTCATCTTATGATTTCATCCTATGTTTATTGCCCTGTGTAAAAGGCATCTGCTGGAAATTCACAAAGCTGCATAACTTGACGCCCATTATGAATACCAAGTTCATGCCTGGTACTACAGATATGAGAGACATAGGACTCAAAATTTACAGTTCAGTCTATCATACAAAGTCCACGTATCTCAATTCTGAATCTCCATAGAGCAGCAGAGCTAAGAAGCTGCTTGGTCCTGGTATCTGGCAGTGATCGTCTGGCTGTATCTTTACACACTTATAATATCATCCATCCATTCATCCATCTTTCAATCTTGTATTTGTACACAATACAATACAATAAAAGCTCTCAGTGTTAATGTGGGGCAGACAAGTACAGTACAACTCGAGATTAACTCAACCTTTACTGTTAAACTATAAATGACTTATCGGCTGGTGGGGTCTCATGTGTACTGTAATGTATCTGCATCACTATTCAAAACATGATCCGATAGTCAACAATGTCAAGATTGGATCATGATTTGCTATCCTCGTGCATTGTCTTTACTGGATGGGCTTGCGGAAGTTCTCTCCTGCGTATTTAGCATTTGCTCCCAGTTCTTCCTCTATACGCAACAGCTGGTTGTATTTGGCCAGACGCTCTGAGCGACATGGGGCACCAGTCTTGATCTGAAACAAAAACAACTTACTTTCTTACACTGAAAACCAATTCCATGATTCATGTATATAGAGGCACAAATAGAGATATTTTCTTTATAATGTGTAAAAATTAAAAGATCTCTTAAAATGCAAGAATCAAACTAGCCTTAATAAATTGATTTCTGGCATATTTAATAATACGTTTTTCACTATCAATTGATGACTGATGAAATAAATTAACGAAGCTTGTGAATTCTTTAATATTACACTCAATTTTAAAGGAAACTGACCTGTCCGGTACAAAGTCCTACGACAAGGTCAGCAATGAATGAATCTTCAGTCTCTCCACTTCGATGTGACACCATCACTCCCCAACCATTGGTCTGAGACAACTTGCAACTGAAACAAACACAAGTTATTGGTTCTCTTACTTCTTTCCTGATAATACATGTACATGGCAATTTCATTGCATTATTTTTCTGAGTCATCTTTTGCAGTACTGAACCAAAATGAACCAATATTTAAATGGGACAAAGTATCTCAAATCGTTAACTAGCTATCTTAGTTTTCTAAATCAACAGACTACAATATTTTAGCATATCTAATTCATTCATTTCTTATATTTCTATGTATTTTGTACTCTAGTAAGTTAGTTGTCATTATGTGTCATAACTTACGCATCAATAGCCTCAGTGACAGAGCCTATCTGGTTGACCTTGAGAAGAAGACAGTTGCAGGCCTTACTGTCAATAGCTGTCTGGACTCGCTTGGGGTTGGTCACCGTCAGATCATCACTGGAAATAAGAGAAGCTTATAATAATGGTACAAAAACATACATACGTAAATAAAAGTTCCCTGAAGGCTCAATGTGTCATTTTGAAGATACTTTTTCATCAGTATTAAGAGATTTGGTGAGTAATAAAATATCTTAAATGTTCATGTTTATACTATTAAATGCCTATATATGGTAATTTACTACCAGATGGTCAAGAAACTTGTATATGGCAATGTTCTTACCATATTAAGTAATAACTGTATAGTGTATGCCCATATAGGATGAATGACACAATATATATATAATAATGTACCTACCCTACTAACTGAATGTCGATTTGTGATTGGAGTTTGGACCAAGCCTTCCAATCATCTTGGTCAAAGGCATCTTCAATAGAAACCACTGGGTAGTTGGCAATGAAGTCCTTGTATATTTCACCAAGGGCATCAGATGTTAACTGCAATGCATTGTAATTTAAGTGATTTGTTCCATTAAGTTTTTCAAAAAATAATCAATTCATAGAGGAATATTACATTTAGCATGTTGCGATAGGCCTCAGTTCTGATAAACTTTATTATGATATACCACATTTTCAGTACAGTTACGTGTCAGTAGAGTTGTGAGAAGATGAGGTGGTCCAATGGGATATAGAAAACCTGTATATCCAAACACCTCCTTAATCCAAACATCTCTTATATGAACACCTCCCATTGACTCACATAAAACCTTGAAATATGAACACTTTTGACTGGTCCCTGAGGCATTCAGATTGAAAAATGTTTTATTGTATTTTCTATTTCCCCATACCTCACCTCCAGCTCTGGAAGTAAAGTACTTAAAGTGGAGGGATAAGGGACTTGATACTTGACTTATTTTATTTACTGGCAATTGTGCTTTTTCTCACGTTACTTACCCACTTGCTTTGATCAGAGTCTTTGCTCTTGAAGTCTAGATCATACTTTCCATCTTTATAGAATTCTGAGGCTGCAATGTCCATTGCAATTTTAATCTTGCCTTCATAGCCAGCCTTGGCAATAGCAGTGGTGACCAACTTAAGGGCTGCAATGACAATGGTGGGATGTAGTAATATATAAGATACGGTTCTATGAACATAAACAGCAATAGCAGTGATAACCAACTTAAGGGCTGCAATGACAATGTTGGGATGTAGTAATATATAAGATACGGTTCTATGAACATAAACAGCAATAGCAGTGGTAACCAACTTAAGTGCTGCAATGACAATGGTGGGATGTAGTAATATATAAGATACGGTTCTATGAACATAAACAGCAATAGCAGTGGTAACCAACTTAAGGGCTGCAATGACAATGTTGGGATGTAGTAATATATAAGATACGGTTCTATGAACATAAACAGCAATAGCAGTGGTAACCAACTTAAGTGCTGCAATGACAATGGTGGGATGTAGTAATATATAAGATACGGTTCTATGAACATAAACAGCAATAGCAGTGGTAACCAACTTAAGTGCTGCAATGACAATGGTGGGATGTAGTAATATATAAGATACGGTTCTATGAACATAAACAGCAATAGCAGTGGTAACCAACTTAAGGGCTGCAATGACAAGGGTGGGATGTAGTAATGTATAAGATACGGTTCTATGAACATAAACAGCAATAGCAGTGGTAACCAACTTAAGGGCTGCAATGACAAGGGTGGGATGTAGTAATATATAAGATACGGTTCTATGAACATAAACAGCAATAGCAGTGGTAACCAACTTAAGGGCTGCAATGACAAGGGTGGGATGTAGTAATATATAAGATACGGTTCTATGAACATAAACAGCAATAGCAGTGGTAACCAACTTAAGGGCTGCAATGACAAGGGTGGGATGTAGTAATATATAAGATACGGTTCTATGAACATAAACAGCAATAGCAGTGGTAACCAACTTAAGGGCTGCAATGACAAGGGTGGGATGTAGTAATATATAAGATACGGTTCTATGAACATAAACAGCAATAGCAGTGGTAACCAACTTAAGGGCTGCAATGACAAGGGTGGGATGTAGTAATATATAAGATACGGTTCTATGAACATAAACAGCAATAGCAGTGGTAACCAACTTAAGGGCTGCAATGACAAGGGTGGGATGTAGTAATATATAAGATACGGTTCTATGAACATAAACAGCAATAGCAGTGGTAACCAACTTAAGGGCTGCAATGACAAGGGTGGGATGTAGTAATATATAAGATACGGTTCTATGAACATAAACAGCAATAGCAGTGGTAACCAACTTAAGGGCTGCAATGACAATGGTGGGATGTAGTATTGTAATATATAAGATACGGTTCTATGAACATAAACATTTTTGTATCTTTCAACATCAAACCATCTTAATATATTTCATATCAAAGTGCATTACTTAAACATACCTTCATCGTTGACCTGGATGTTTGGGGCAAAGCCACCCTCATCTCCAACATTGCAGGCTGAAAGTTTAAAATGAATTGTAGTAAAACCAAATGGTGAATATTTCAATACAGGTAGTTTTAATCAGACGACAAACATCAAATGGGGACATTATTTATATTTTCAGTTACATGTAAGAAGTCTTATGTACAATGTAATTACAAAAACTGGGAACAAAATGCAACTGGTTTAAACTGGGCTTTTGTGTAAGTCTATTTCTAATATTAAACCTATCTGTGGAATCAGTTCATACATGTATGCATCTCATTTCACTTATTTGAATAAGACAAGCATTGTAATTCCTTACCATCTTGACCATATTTTGCCTTGATTACTTTTTTCAGGTGATGGTAGATCTCTGATCCCATACGCATGGCTTCTGTGAAGTTCTTGGCACCTGAATCAGACGGAAAATGTTTTACAAAAATGAAGTGAATAAATTAAATGCAAGATCAGACCATTAAATTTAATATTAATGCTAACCAACCAGCACATCTACTTATATGATGACCATTATTAGTGATGATATCACAGGGTGATGTACTATACACAAAGTGAGAAGTTTAGTAGGTTAGTGTACCTGTTGGTAAGATCATGAATTCCTGAAAAATCTGACCATTAACTTTAATTTTAGTGCTAACCAACCAGCACATCTACTTATATGATGACCATTATGTAGTGATGATTTCACTGAGTGATGTACTACATGTATTACAAACAGTAAGAAGTTTACCTGTTGGTAAGATCATGAATTCCTGCATAGCTAGTTTGTTTCCTGCATGGCTGCCTCCATTGATTACATTGAATGCTGGGACGGGGAGAATGACATCTTTGTTGCCAGCTAGATCAGCCAGATGGCGGTAAAGTGGGACACCCTGTATAATACAAAAGTTAAAAGGTGAAATTGGACAGCCCATACAATAAAATAGCAGTAAAGTGGGACACTGTGTAATACAAAAGTTGAAAGGTAAAATGAGACACCCTGTACATTAAACTAGAAGGTAGGGTAAAGTGAGACACCCTATATAATACACCAGTATTACAGTCAAGTTGGACCACCTGAACAATACAATTTCAGCCACAAGAATAATGTAAATGCAATGCAGTCTAGTATTCCCCTAGATTCACTGAAGATTATGTGATTGAAACACTCACCTTAGCAGCTGCTCCTGCCTTGGCTACAGCTAGAGACACGCCTAGAATAGCATTGGCCCCAAACTTGGCTAAAAACACAATATTCACAAAATCACATGTATGATAATGTAAACATATGTGCAGAAGAATGAATGTCAAATAATCAAGTCTAAGGTCATATGAAGGGTCAAGGTCAAACACTGTGAAAAATTATTTGTACTTTTTGTTCGATGTATCAGGTGAGGATTTTCATGTTTCTATTTCTGTTTCTGTAGACTGTCTATCTGTAGAATGTCCATCTTCATACAAAGTACAATGTATTTTTAAACTAACATTTGGATTGTGTTTTTTCTTTCTTTTTCATGTTTTCAGACTTACACTTGTTTTCTGTTCCATCAAGATCCAGCATGACTTGATCAACTTCCTTCTGTTGAGTGACATCAACTCCCTGTAGGATAACATATATTGTTAGTACATTAGTCTAAATTCTCAAATCTGATTGGTCAATAGTGGGTAAATTGGAGATAACTGCTGGGTTTATCATTTATTAAAGGTTACAGCTAATAAAGTTTGGTACATTAACTGGAAATAAATAGCAGACATAGGTGTAGCGCCCGGTATGCTGGGTACGCATAGGCGTACTAGGTTACAAACTCGCTCCAAATACAACCAAATTTCAAAATTTTCCTGGGGGAGAACCCCCGAGAGCCCCCCTAAACGCTCATTTTTTGCTTCGCTCAACTCTTGTTCCCGTTGTGGCGTACTTAGAAAAATAGCGCTACGCCCATGGCAGAGTATTTTAAAGCTAAGTTTGGCAATGTAGAAAGGATGGGCTATGTGTGTATAGGTTTCAGCACAAAAACAGTACATACAGGTATGCCTTTACAACTACTAATTGGGAAGCAAAAACTCCAAATGTAGATGATGTACCATCAAACAAAATGCCAAAGTGTTACAAGTGCTTTCTCCAGGAATTTTTGGTTTGAGGATTTTATCATTCTATTCGTATAACATTTGATGATTTTTCAATTTATAGGGCAACACTTTGAATCTTACATTTAGTGTTACCTCTTTGAAGACACATTGAACAAATGGATGAGTATTTTGGTGTATTGAATTAATTGAGAACCTAAGAGGTTCAATGTATGTAAGGAGGGCATGCTGTACCATTTAATAGAATGGCAACCTATCAAAGTTGTACAGAGTAATACATTATGCAGTACTTTGTACAGACAGTACGCTACATTTTAAAGGTCAGACAGTAGAATGTCAAGGTGACATTTGACTTTTATACCCATGGTTAGGAATGGCAGATACATGATATTGTAAGTTCAGATTCATTAAATATAACTTAGTGTTTTGTGCTTACCCAAATTAGAACACTCTAACATAACAGATATAAGACATAAATTTCTCATTTTCATGATGTATATCTCAGTTCACTTGCTCTCCCCAGCATTTTAACAAAAACCCACAGTGTTCTTTAATTACCTCTAGAGGGTCATGACAAGGCCAAAGACTGGAGATCCCCATTATCACCTAGGTGATAAGTGCAGGCAACACCCCACAGCCCTCTCTATCACTCAAATAGGTGTGTATTAATGGTGACTAACCATAGCAATAAGAGCCGACCACACCCCACACCATCCCCCAAATAGATGTGTATTAGTGGTGACTAACCTTGGCAATAAGAGCTGGTCCGAGTGAGTTGTTAATGTGGCCCACAGCCTGACTGACTCCCTTGCCATGATAAGCTGCTGGGTCTTGGTCTCTCAACTCGAGGGCCTCATAGATACCTGTTGAGGCACCACTGGGGACTGCTGCCCTGAATGTACCTGGAACATGTGTATAATTTGGTTACCACTTCTAGATATTAGATAAATCTAAAAATCTAGTCGAGATACAAGACCCGAGACCCCCCTCCCACTACTTGCAATCCTTCTCACATCTTCTTGTGGGTAGGTGTGTAGTGGGGGGGGGGGTTCACGAAGGCTTGTACCTAGACTATTAAAATCTAAAAATTGATACTTTAGTGAATCAGTGATTGTCTTTATAACATGTAATCTGAAGAAGTTAAAAAATCACAACATCCAATATGACAATGCCAATAAGATAATCACATGATGCATTCAAACCATAGTAACTATCTTTACCTTTGCCAGTTTGCAGGTCTACCTCTACTGTTGGGTTTCCTCTGCTGTCAAAGATTTGACGGGCGACAATTCTGGTGATTGCATTCGACATTGTGGAGACTTTAGCTGAAATCATAGAGACATCATCCAATGATGGTAACTGCTAAGATGTAACAAGGCATTAACATGACAAAATGTCACCACCTAGTTGCTCACAATATTAAGTCAGATTTGAATTTCTGAGAACTTGTAAAGTCAAATTTGAACTTCTGAAAAGATGTAGATAATTTTGAAAAAAAAATTTGGTCAATTTGAAGCAAGTTGAAAACAGACCTTTTTGACCTTTTTTGACCTTGAGAAGGTCATTAAAGGTCAAATGTCAAATCTAAAGTCAGATTTGAATTTCTGAGAACATGTAGATGATTTTGAAAAAAAAAATTAGTCAATTTGAAGCAAGTTGAAAAAAGACCTTTTTGACCTTTTTAGACCTTGAGAAGGTCATTGAAGGTCAAATGTCAAATCTAAAGTCAAATCTAAAGTCATATTTGAATTTCTGAGAACATGTAGATGATTTTGAAAAAAAATTTAGTCAATTTGAAGCAAGATGAAAAAATACCCTTTTGACCTTTTTTGACATTGAGAAGGTCATTGAAAGTCAAATGTCAAATCTAAAGTCAGATTTGAATTTCTGAGAACATGTAGATGATTTTGAAAAAAAAATTAGTCAATTTGAAGCAAGTTGAAAAAAGACCTTTATGACCTTTTTTGACTTTGAGAAGGTCATTGAAGGTCAAATGTCAAATCTTAAGTCATATTTGAATTTCTGAGAACATGTAGATGATTTTGAAAAAAAAATTAGTAAATTTGAAGCAAGATGAAAAAATACCTTTTTGACCTTTTTTGACATTGAGAAGGTCATTGAAGGTCAAATGTCAAATCTAAAATCAGATTTGAATTTCTGAGAACATGTAGATGATTTTGAAAAAAAAATTTAGTCAATTTGAAGCAAGTTGAAAAAAGACCTTTTTGACCTTTTTTGACTTTGAGAAGGTCATTGAAGGTCAAATGTCAAATCTTAAGTCAAATCTAAAGTCAGATTTGAATTTCTGAGAACACGTAGATGATTTTGAAAATTTTTTTTAGTCAATTTGAAGCAAGTTGAAAACAGACCTTTTTGACCTTTTTTGACCTTGAGAAGGTCATTGAAGGTCAAATGTCAAATCTTAAGTCAGATTTGAATTTCTGAGAACACGTAGATGATTTTGAAAAAAAAATTTAGTCAATTTGAAGCAAGTTGAAAACAGACCTTTTTGACCTTTTTTGACCTTGAGAAGGTCACTGAAGGTCAAATGTCAAATCTAAAGTCAAATTTGAATTTCTGAGAACATGTAGATGATTTTGAAAAAAAAATTTAGTCAAATTGAAGCAAGTTGAAAAAAGACCTTTTTGACCTTTTTTGACTTTGAGAATGTCATTGAAGGTCAAATGTCAAATCTTAAGTCAAATCTAAAGTCAGATTTGAATTTCTGAGAACACATAGATGATTTTGAAAATTTTTTTTTTAGTCAATTTGAAGCAAGTTGAAAACAGACCTTTTTGACCTTTTTTGACCTTGACAAGGTCATTGAAGGTCAAATGTCAAATCTTAAGTCAAATCTTAAGTCAGATTTGAATTTCTGAGAACACGTAGATGATTTTGAAAAAAAAATTTAGTCAATTCGAAGCAAGTTGAAAACAGACCTTTTTTACCTTTTTTGACCTTGAGAAGGTCATTGAAGGTCAAATGTCAAATCTAAAGTCAGATTTGAAGGTCAAATGTCAAATCTAAAGTCAGATTTGAATTTCTGAGAACATGTAGATGATTTTGAAAAAAAATTTAGTCAATGTGAAGCAAGTTGAAAAAAGACCTTGTTGACCTTGAGAAGGTCATTGAAGGTCAAATGTCAAATCTAAAGTCAGATTTGAACTTCTGAGAACATGTAGATGATTTAGAAAAAAATTGAAGTCAGTCTAAACAGTATTTGTTAAGTTATAGGAAGTTGTAAGAAATTGTTACAGACGCCGGACGCCAACCACCAACCGCCGGACGCCGTCGAAAAAAAACGGAGACCATAACAATATGTCACCACTTTTGGTGGTGACATAAAAACAGATAATGTTGAAAGCTACATGCAGTTTGAGCTACAGTCCACATAAATGCAGAACAAGAAGGTTAATGTTAAAGGTTAAACAAGCACAGAAACAACATAAAGATGAAAAATAAATACAAACAAAAATTTACAGAATAAAGGATGTAAGATTAAAACAAATGAGGAATATACCTTTCCAAAGTATAGGTGTTGTATTAACTGTTAGTAAAGCGGTAAACAGTTTGAACATCACATGAACGCAACTGAAAGGTATAGAAAAAATAATATATAGGGAAAGCCCAAAAGGATACCTTCTTATTTATTTTGGAATAACCTTCTCAATCATGATGGAATTTTCACACAAATGTGTACTTATATTGCATCCATGAATATGTGATTTAAATAAATCACAATTTCATTCTAATCTATGTATGCTGCTCTTATGTAATTCTGAAATTATGATTTCTGTCTTTGACATTATTTAAGACATTTTTAGATTGATCTCATATTTATTAATCAAATGTCCTATCAAAAGTATATTCTGTACTTATAACCTATTTAAGGTCAGGGTACATGTTCGGAATTTTGCTGCAACCCTCAATAGGGTCACTTCCCGGGGGGTCACATGTACCCTGGTCTTAATGAGGTGCTACATTATGAATATTTTATATTTCCCAGCATTGTTTTGGCCTTGATCAAATCTATGTGGTACTGTAGCGTAAGATACATTTCTTTTACATTATAAATGTTTATTGAGGCTTGCTTTATTGACTTCTGTTTTTGTCTTGACAAATTCTACATCTCCATCTACAGCCCATTTCACCGTTTTATTGCGTCAGTAGAACCTCAAAAATAAGAAATCAGGAGACCATTGTGTAAGATGGAAAAGTATATTCATATTGTACATGAATGACATTTGTATATTTCAGATTATTTAGTTTTTTTGTGCAATGAGCCTGTGCCCTCTTGTAATTTAAGAATTTCAGCCATGTTTATCTTTTTGAAAACACTATGGCAGAGAAGCATCCGTTTGTTGAAATACTCTGGAATGACTTTCAGGCTACTGCATTGACGTCACCCCTCTTTACCAGTAGTGCAGGCTTCTTGCTGTACCTCATACCTGTGAGGATGAGGTTGAACAATAAGTACACCATCTTACAACACATACGTGTACCCTAGACTATATCCTATTTAGTCTGAATTATATTCAGACTATAAGGCACCTATGTTAAAGTTTGGTAATCCTAAATATTTGTTTACATAGGAAGTGCTATTCAAAATGGCCGATTGGGTAAATTCAATTTCACTGGGGAGTATCGTGATGCAACAACACCGTGTTGTTGCATCAAGATGGCCATACTTCCGGTGATAGATTTTCGTACGATATTTTGTTTCCCCAATTTAAACCCATTTCTAGGACGAGTTGCTCAATAACCTTACACGTGCAGTTAGCGCACGATCTATATTTAAAGAAACTGTCATTAGTATACATGTAGCATCATCAAGAAGCAATAACTTCACGGTTATAATTCCTCACTATTGATGCAACAACACCAAACCGAAGATGCAACAACACTCCTCTAGATTTGAGCAATGATGCAGCAACACCAATTAATAGTATAATTTCAGAAGACCATAAATCTCGAGAGGAACAGATTTTCAAATGCTACTATTGCAACACCGTTACCCATTACCCATATTTGCGTTCTTCTCAAGGCATTTAAAATACACGTCCTGCGGGCGATTAAATATTATAATGTACTGGACGTTGTTCTATAACATAGTTCAATCGCCTTTAACATGGCAAGCTTTAGTAACCCAATCTATTTTCATAAACCACTGTTCCATAGCTTGATGACCCTGACTCCAGTTAGTATCATTCAAAATGGTGGACAAACATCTTTCGTTCTCGGTAAACATGACGAGCTATTGGAAATTATCTGTCATCCATCTGTGGAACAGTGATAAACTAGTAGATGTACGTTGCCACTGTTTATCAAATTATAACTAAAACAGTTTAACTGTGACATTCGTGAGCTTATGTTGATGGGATGATTGCTTCATCTATGATATAATATGATATGATTCTTTATTTCCTCCAATTTAGAGAGCCAACGTGTAAAAACGTCTAGTTGACTTTATTAGAGAGGCCGTTTAGTTACACGTTTAATGGAAATCTTGCACGACGCACATGTAGAATTATTGCTCTCTTTGGATTCCTTCTCTCCGACTGAGTAAAAAGGTAAACAAAAGTGAAGATTAAGGGCCCAAAAAGGTAAATTGATAGGGGTACAGTTATCCCAGATATCCCAGGCTCTCGGGAAATATCATATTGTCTCTCGGAATAAAACCAATATTGAATCCCTCTCAGTAAATAACCTTTATATAATAGCATTGTATAACTGCAATATCATTACACCAACACTCATCCTATACATCTCTTGAGAACGATGTACAACTCCTGGATAGCGTAAACTCCTGAGCAGCGTATACAACTCTTCAACTTGATATATGACATCATACTTTGGGTGGGATAACAAAGAATATACAATATACAATTGTAGACCTCTCTTGAGGTCAACTGGCAAAATCGTATACCGATACTGTAATCCTTGAAAGTTCGGAGGTCGAGGTCAACAGTGCTCTCAGGGTTTACTGTTGAGGTATACACTTTGGCCAGTTGACCGAAAAGAGAGGTTAACAATTCGTTTGTTAGTCCGAAGAATATAATAATTTGAAGGATATTATATAAAATTGTAGACCTCTCTTAAGGTCAACTGGCAAAATTGTATACCGATACTGTGAAACTTGAAAGTACTGTTGATCAAGACCAGAGGTCGAGGACACTTTTGCCAGTTGACCGAAAAGAGAGGTTAAGTTAACAATTGTTTTGTTCGTCCAAATAATATAATAATTGGACGAATATATAATCGAATATCACGTGAACATATTTGATAAGTAAAGGTATCATATTTTAGCAAAAAATCCCCAAACCGTCGAATACTTGTAATTTTTTACATAACTTATTTTTTCAAAATTAAAAAAATTTCAACATTAAAAAAACAATTTTTCAAAAATAGCGGTCAACAGTACCTAGTAATGGTCAACAGTTTACAATTGTTGACCTCCCCAGAGGTCAACCGGCAAAATTGTATACCGAGACTGTAAACCGAAAAACTACTGTTGACAGAGACCGAAGTTTACAGTCTAGGTATTTGATTTTGACGGTTGATCTAATGGAGAGGTCTACAATTTTTTTGTTAGTCCGAGTAAACTAATACACATATAAACGACAATCATCAATCGGCATGGCTTCATTTCACAACCTTTTCTCCGAACCACGTTAGCAATATTTTTTTTAGAAAATCTGGAGACAGTGTAAGTAGCTTAACTCTGTATTTGGCACATCGCGGCGTACTCGTTAGTGAATTAATTGATTAATTTTAAGTTTCTATTTGTATTTTTGCTATACTTGTCGCCTAGTAAAGTCATTTTCATCAATGTTTACAACAGTACCTAGTAGCGGTCAACAGTACATAATTTTGACCGCTAATCAACCAATCAGAATCGAGTATTTCTGTTGAGGTACTAACAATACATTTTGTTGACCGCTCATCAACCAATCAGAATTGAGTATTTCAATTGAGGTACCAACAACACAAATTGACTGATATCTGTTGCCTTTCCAAAATTATATTAGTTATTTGTAAACAATTTCCATACGGTTAATCAAGGGCATTTAATTTAGAAAATGTATAATCTTTATTTTTCAGATACAATATCAATGAGATTGCCTCCCGGGGATTCAGTACTTTATTTAGTTTGCCTTGTATATCCTTTTAACTTTGATATAGACAAAGAAACCAAACAAAATACGTTTCGTTCATGGACCACTGACTCACGCGTTTTATTCATGTCCCGACCTTCACCTGTAAACAGAACATAAAATAGTTTCTCTTGTTGTTCAATGATACATTATATTGGCGTTTTTGCATCAGCACATTGGTGTTGTTGCATCATCGATAAGAAACAGAGTGGTGTTGTTGCATCAATAGTGAGGAATTAAAACCACGAATTTATCGCTTCTTGATTATGCTACATGTATACCTATGACAGTTTTTTAAAATATAGATTATGGGCTAACTGCATGTGTATGATTATTGAGCAATTCGTCCTAGAAATGGGTGTAAATTGGGAAAACAAAACATCGTACGAAAATCTATCACCGGAAGTCTGGCCATCTTGATGCAACAACACGGTGTTGTTGCATCACGATACCCCCCAGTGAATTTGCACATTTGTTACTTCACTAGCTTTATTTCCACTTGACAATATGCTGTGTTACTTTTTATTGCATTTAATTGTACCTTACTATTTAATTGAAATTTTGTAATGTTTATTTTATTGACGAAATTGTTCCTCTAATTGATAATTTTATGCAAAAAATTTCACTGCAATTTCCACAGGAAAGTAGTACATCATAACAGACTGACTTCTAGTCAGTCTGTTGGATACATACTAGATCTAACGTGTACCCCCTGCTCCGCTATTTTGTAAAAGATGCAACTAATACTAAAAGATGCAGAGATTTTAGATTGTGCAACCATGCAAATTTCTCTGGTCTCTTATCTAAGACTCAAAAGAGCAACCAGCCAAGGTCAAAACCCCCTAACCTACAGTTATAAATCATTTGACCAATATTTTTTAGAGGTCAAAAGTTGAACAAACACAAGTCAAAATCTACACCAAAGGCTAATTAACAAAATGAGCAAGTGCAAATAAAATACAAAATTCTTAATAGTGATGTTGAGGTAAAGAATAACCTTATCTGCAACAAAAGAAAATTACCAACATGCCAAAATGAAAAAAGACAAAAATGAATGATGACTTTGATGAAGGTCACTTCTTCTACTCATCCGTGTGAATACTGTTCAAGTAAGAAAGTCTTGACAATTGTACAATATTATCTTCCATACCTATTTTAGTTCCGTATTTCATTAGAATAGTGATTCATTACAAACTGCTCCCGATACTTACCAAACTATTCACCGGCACAAAATAACAAGAAGCTTGACCTAGAAATGGCTGCTAGAGAACGAGATTAGCGAGTGCACGAGATTTCATTAATTTTGCAAATAAACAATTTTTTGATAGATTTTTTTAAATACATATAGAATATAATAATAATACATTTATATACCGAATTGGGTATTATATTTGTAATTTAGTAATAATCTTGATTATTTTCTGACAATGACCTTTGACCTCGTTTAGTCATTCAACATGGAAGTAAAATTTTGAAGTTTTGTACACTACTAAAATACGTTCATTACACCATATCATGAGATTTAACTAAGGATTAACATAAACCGTTTAAAGATACACAATCCAAGAACCAGAAAATGCGTCCTAACATAGATTTCAACGAGTGCCTAAAGGACTCTCCTAAGTTTAGGTGAGGATGTATTTTTTTACTGATTTATTTTTTTTGTGAAGAAGAAAACATTGTGAATCATATCAAAACATTGCAGGTTCTTCTCGGTTTATTGCCTTCCAGCTACAGCTGTGTTGAATTATTCTCGTGACAATTTCGCAGCGAAAGAAACGGGACTCTGCATAATTAAACAACTTGTCCTGAGTTACCTATGTCTAGTCATATAAATCCGACCGTTGTATGCTGTTCTTCGATATTCCTTGTTCCTATTTGGATATTTATTTTTTATCATTTTCTTAGCATATACGGTCGTAGATATTATTGCTGACAAATTGCGGTAAACGCTTTTCTGGCCTGTCTTAGTAACCATAGTTACCATACTAACCAAAGTCACACAAATTATCGAGTAATTATTTAGCTCCAACATCAAAGTGTTAAATCTTACCTTAGACATGTAAAACGCTTGATAATTGACGAAATATAATCAATTGAATTATATTTTCATTATCGCCCGCCATGTTGCTGAATGTTGTTTCCGGTAGTCTAAATGTAAAACATCTAGCGAAACTGAATCATAATTATTTATTACACAGAGATCGATTCCAATTATCCCGTTCCCAGACTATGGTCCTGTGAACATCTCAATCTTTTGCCTGTGCGATTACAACATGGGAGAATTTTTTACTTATCTTACACTTCAGATACCTACTTCAATAGATTCCTTGGTAATTTAGCATTCTTTTCGTGTAGTTGAATCCACAATTGTCTGGGTTTATCAGCAGAACGAAGACATTTTCGTTTTTGATCGCAATATTTGCGTGTAACATTTAACTTATTTCAACCGTCAAATTCCTCCATATTGGTACTTCCGGGCTACATCCGGGACAGCCAAACGGGGGATTCCCCTTTTAAATCCAACCGCCATTTTGAAAAGTGATGGAATCTCTCTCGATGAAAAAGAGAAAATGTTCCCGTTCTGCCGATATACCCAGACAATCGGCGGTTCCAATATATTAGAAGTTACATCTTGAGTTCTATAATGCATTGAGGTAGGTATCTCAAGTGTAAGGGGCGTAGATAATTCTTATTACTTTTCTCATTTTGAAACAATAACTTTTCCAAATAACTTCCCTTCTTAACGACACTGCTTCCCTTTCAACTGAATCTTCGTGCAACAAGTACTTATGATTTCGTTTGATATAGTTTTACATCTAGACTTAGATTAACCCGGAAGTGACCTTGGCATGGCAAAATGAAAAAATTTTAAAATTCAAGCGGCATGCTTATATTTCTTCAATTACCAAGCGTTTTATGTGTCTAAGGTAAGATTAAATACTTTATAGTTGAAGCAAAGAAATTTATTTATCATTTGTGTGAATTTGGTTGGGTAGACAGGCCAGGAAAGCATTTCCCGCAATTTAGATGCGAGGAGTGTGTATGACCCTAGTATGCAAGAAAATAAGAAAAAATAAATATCCAAATCGGAAAAAATAACAACAAATAACATCATACGAGGGTCAGATTTATATGACTACCTATGTCAAAGGCTGCTGACTGATTCTGATACTGTAGCCTTTACCATATAGTCATATAAATCCGACCGTTGTATGCCGTTCTTCGATATTCCTTGTTCTTATTTGGATATTTATTTTTTATCATTTTCTTTGCATACACGGTCCTCGTATGCAAGAAAATAAGAAAAATAAATATCCAAATCAGAAAAAATAACAACAAATAACATCATACGAGGGTCAGATTTATATGACTATTACCATGGGCTTTCAACTGATCCCATGCACAGGCAATGGAACATAGAAATAATCCCCCTCCCCACTCTCTATATATAAGTAAAATAAGAATCTATTTCAAGCCACAAATCCATTGTTCAAGTCTCACTTGTAGTTATTTTCAAATAAAATAAAATAATGAAATAGTGTGACATTTGTCGTGGATATGATAGATGTCGCTGTTGGTGGCCGCCGAAATGTGGTGAATCCAAAACGGTCAATTTTTTCGTCACAATTTTGCAATTTTCCAGTATAACTAGGTTGAGTTGGTATTGGTAAGTAACTATAAATCGTATTCAATGTATAATCTTTGCATAGGTATGAAAAATACTGAATGACAACCCTCAGTAGCAGTAATATGACTGGCAAAAAAACTGGGTCAAGTTTCTCCGTTAAGTTCCTGTTTTATTTTACTTATATATAGAGAGTGGGGGGGGGATTATTTCTATGTTCCATTGCCTGTGGATCCCATGCCTTTACACACAGGCAATAATCCGCTTGTGCCTGAAACTAAATTACTGGATACTTTTGATCTCCAAATGTTCCAAACATCAGTAGGCGTTGTTTGTGAAACTATGGAAAGTTTCAGGTGCCTCTGTGCAGATCACGACTTATTTCTATCAGTCGAGGTGGAAACTCTATTTCTGTCTATCTAGATAATGTTTAGGGAACAAAACATTTTCAGCATTAGCCATACACATGATTCTGACCTCAATCAATTCTAACATCCATAAATCCATTCTCTCAATGTCACAAAAGTTTTGTCTGATTTAAACTGAAAAGGTGTTCACTTCACTTTCAAAAGGGGTAAATCCAAACCAGTAGAGTTTCAAAATGTCCTAGAGTATATCTCTTCATTCCAGAGGGATACAATCTCGAAAAACCTTTGAAATCAGTCTACTTGACAAATATAGAATCAAGTTAATCAATCAATCAATCAAGGTAATAAGTGTTGAAGATGATGACTTAGAAGATAACCAATCAGAGAAAACAGCCATAAGATAAATGGTACATTGAAAGATGGACGTGTATTGATATTTTTGATGCAAAATGTTTTGATATTTTTGGATTGCTTGTGGTTTGAATATCAGCTGTGTGGCTTCTCTCATTTTGATGCATCTCTGACATGTTCATGGTAATTATTTATTCTGAAGCAACAGTTATTTGACTACCTAACAGTCCAGCACCAGAATGTCACATCTGTTGAGAAATAGTGTATTTTCTGTGAGAAATAGATTACTTTGTATCCATTGTTCACATGTTAAAATTGACCAGTTGTCGCTATAGTTGAAACAGTAGCAAAAGTTTTGGGATCATGGCAAGTAACATTTGAAACTGCCTGTTGAAATTAACCTTTAGCGTGCTGCCGGCGGACGAGTCCACCGAGACTAAAATGTCTCTCACAACTGCCGGCGGACCCGTACGTCCGATTTCAAACTTTTAAAAACTTTACTTTTTCGCGCCATTCGTATTGTCCAATTAGATTGCCCGATTTATTCAGTGCCTAACATGACTTCCTGTTGACCTAGAAATGGCGATATTTCGAAAAATAATTCTCAATTCAACAATTTAAACAGTGTTTTAGTCGTTTTTAGTGAACGAATCGTACAAAATGGTGGACAAATACGATCACAACGAAAATGTGGAGGAAATGGATTACGATTTCGAGCTCTTTAGGCTCTTGGAAGCCGATAACGGTCATCGAAAATAGAAACTAGAATATTTTCTGAATTGAAAAATTGAACATTCGATCGCTGCAAATTCAGATTTGGATTCTGTCCAGACGAAGAGGCGGAGCGGCGGATTCCGGAGGAGTATTCATGGTATATTTATGCCCAGTCGTGTTAATGTACGAATAAATTCATGAGAACATTTTTTTCATGAGCCAGGCCACTGTATCTTCCCTTTGTGAAAATTTTATCCAGATTCATTCAGTAGTTATTGAGATATTAATTATTTAGTCCAGGTATATCATTTTTTGCACTCTTTGAAAAATAAGCCAGTTGCGTGGGATATATTTGCTGAAATAAGGCAGCATGGTAAAGGTTAAATAAACTTCTGAAAAAATCCATGCAAGAAAGTGCAATGACAAACTTACCTCCTATATTTGATGATAATGCATTAAAGTAAAAATATTTCTATTAGGTCGCGAAACCTAAAAAAATATGCTGATATTCATGATTGGTCATACTTGCAAGTGTTGCTTCATGGTGCATTTATAAATGATTTTCACTCTCAGAAACGATATTCCAGGGTATCAGAATAAGAAAATACCAGTTGTAATGGTTATGTTGACAAGCTGGCTGTAAATCTTCAACTGCATATTAATATCATTATCAGGGGATTGTTAAGAACCCTTCGTGAATTAAGAATTCTTAACTCTATTGTTCTCTATAACTTCATGATATCCATGGTAACAGAAATTGATTTCAGAACCATGATTTTACGAAAGCATTCTTGTAATGACCTTTGGAATCCCAATCACTTCTCTGAAATTCCTGTAATCTACTGATTTGATGTTTACATTTATGTATCAGATGCTGGCACGGTTTTGCCGGAAGTTTGCAAGAAGTAACTTTTGGCAATGCAGTATGTTAGAGTGACCTAGTAGGTGTAAGAAAATATAAGGTGATGGCCTTTAAAGTGGTAAAAACAATTTTCACGGCCGAATTGGACTTCAATTCCTGCGATTTCAGGGGGTACTATAAGACTATTTCATAACATAAAGGATATAGTTGCTATTGTTCTGCTTTCTACAGCACACATTACTAGTCCAAAGATGAATAATATCCTAAAGTTATAGGCCGATATCTGTATTAGTCTCAGAAATATTGCAATTAATAGGAAAAAAATATGCAATTTTAG